TTTAAAGAGGAGAAAAATGAGTGGCTCTCCTCAGAGAGTAACATGAATTGTTTAGAGAGATAACGGCTTTTATCACCCACGTCTAATTTGATGTTATGACTTACATCTTAAATGTGGCCGTGTGTCACCATATGATTATATGGCGTCTTTGGGTTATCATTCCCATTTACATTAATTGTCAAGTTATTAACTAATTAGTATAAATGTTTAAATTATAATAATTAAAATTTTTATTAGCATTTATTATTACAAAAAAATAATTTATTATAAATTTGTTGTTTTTCTTTTATTATTTTTTTCTGTGACCCATTTTAATGAATGAGTTGTGGCGATGTGTGCTTGTAGTATGACGCAGACTTGTATTTGTTGGCGACTTCGATTTTTTTACGATTTCATATTTACGTAGTAATTTCAAATTTTTTGTGTTGAGTTTTATAAATATAGATGGATTGATATACGCAGTAAGCGTGTGTATGTGGGCGTGAGAGTGTGCTCGATAAATTAATTTGATTTAATCAGGAAAAAGGAAATGCTAATATATTTAGAATGTATAGGAGAGATAAAAAATAATAATCTTAATATATATAAGAGCTTAGTGTTAAGTGAGTGACTGACTGACAGATCATCGCCCAGACGAAATGGCTAAAGCTAGAATCTTGAAATTTTGGGTGAGGGCCACTCTTGGTCCAAATTTGACAGATAAGGCTGGGTTTTTGGAAATTCGTACTAGAACGGTCCGAAAAGTACTAAAAAGTACTAAATGTGATACCATATGTATTTGGCGAATCGGTAGAGCTAGAACTCTGAAATTTGGTTTTGGTGGTCGTTGATGAATTGCAGGATAGATGTACCAAAGGGTTTTTGGAAATTCGAAATATAACTATCTGAAAAGTACGAAAAGTTAAGATGTAGGTTCCATTTAAAAGGAGATCGGTTTGAATGCGTGTGCTCATGTGTACGAAAAGTACTATATGGTACTATATTTGGTACAAATTTAATTTATACTAATAAAAGAGTATGTGATTGACTGACTGACTGATTTAACGATTCATCAACGCCCAGACGAAACGGCTGAAGCTAGAATCTTGAAATTTTAGGTGAGGGTCACTCTTGGTCCAAATGTGACAGATAAGGCTGGGTTTTTGGAAATTCTAAAAATACTAGAACGGTACGAAAAGTACTAAATGTGATACCATTTGTATTTGGCGAACCGGTAGAGCTAGAAATTTAAATTTTTAATGAGGGTCGCTGATGAAGTGCAGAATTGTAGAGAGTTTTTTGGACATTCGAACTGTAAGTATGCGAAAAGTACTAAAATGTACTAAATTTGGTGCAATTTCGTAGCATGTGAAGGGATTGAGCTGAAAACATGAAATTTGGAATGCGAATTAGGGTTGAGATATAGGGTTTATTTAAGGAGATGATTTTGAAAGCGATTTTGTGTACGAAAGGTACTATATGTTACTATATTTGGTGCAAATGTATTTTGGTGGTACAAATCGAGCTCTGGAATCCTGAAATTTGAAATTAACATTACCGTCGGAGTGGGAGGAATGGGATATGTACGTAGTTTTGGAAATTTTTTACTGATGTATACGAAAAGTACTAAATCGTACTACAATTGGTACAATTTCGGTTTGGATGAACCGATAGAGTGGAAACAGTGACATTTTGAGTCCGGATTACTTTAGGGGTGTAGGATTGGGGGTCAGGATTCAGTTTAAGCAATTTATATTCAGAGGTACTAAATGGTACTAAGTTTCGTACAATTTGAATTGTGTGGGTGAACCAGTAGAGCTAGAGTCATAAAATTTGGAGTCAGGATCACTGTGGAGGTGTAAGATCGAAATATGTAGGAGGTTTTAAAAATTGTTACTAATTTGTACTAAATTTTGTACAATTGAACCGATAGAATTGGAATCCTAAAATTTTTATTTAGGATAACTGTGCGGATGAGGGTTTAGGTTCAATAGGAAGTTTTGGAAATTCGTACTATTGTGTACTCAATTTGGTACAATTTGAATTGTGGGTGAACCGATGGAATTGAAATCTTGGAACTTGGATTTAGGATAACTGTGGGAGTGATGGTTTGGGGTATGTAGGAAGTTTTAAAAATGTTTACTAATGTGTACTAAATTTGGTGTAATTTAAATTGTGGGTGAACCGATAGATTTGGAATTCTGAAAATTGGATTTAGGATCACTGTGGAGGTGTAGGTTTTGGGTTAAGAAGAAAGTTTTGGAAATTGGTACTACTGTGTACCAAATTTGGTACAATTTGAATTGTGGGTGAACCAATAGAATTGGAATTCTGAAACATGGTGTTAGGATAACTGTGGGGATGTGGGTTTGGGATCAGTAGGAAGTTTTGGAAATTCGTACTAATGTATACTAAATTTAGTACAATTTGAATTGTGTGGGTGAACCGATAGATTTGGAATTCTGAAACATGCAATTATGATCACTGTGGGGGGTGTAGGATTGGTGTATGTAGACAATTTTGGAAATTCGTACTACTGTGTACTTAATTTGGTACAATTTGAATTGTGTGGATGAACCGATAGAATTGGAATCCGGAAACTTGGATTTGGGATCACTGTGGGAGTGGTGGTTTGGGGTATATAGGAAGTTTTGGAAATTCGTACTATTGTGTACTAAATTTGGTACAATTTGAATTGTAAGTGAACCGATAGAGTTGGAATTCTGAAACTTGGATTTAGGATCACTGTGGGAGTGATGGTTTAGGGTATGTAGAAAATTTTGGAAATTCGTACTATTGTGTACTAAATTTGGTACAATTTGAATTGTGGGTGAAGCGATAGAGTTGGAATCTTGAAACTTGGAGGTGGAGGTGTAGGTTTGGGCTAAGTAGGAAGTTGTGGAAATTGGTACTACTGTGTACTAAATTTGGTACAATGTGAATTGTGGGTGAACCGATAGATTTGGAATCCTGAAACTTGGATTTAGGATCTCTGCGGGGGTGTAGGATTGATGTATGTAAAAATTTTTGGAAATTGGTACTACTGTGTACTAAATTTAGTACAATTTGAATTGTGGGTGAACCGATAGATTTGGAATCCTCAAAATTTGAATTTTGAATCATTGTAAGGGTATAGGATCGGGGTATGCAGGAAGTTTTGTTGTTGGATGTTTGAGGTGGGTACTCTTGGAAGTAATGTGTACTAAATTTGGTACAATTTGAATTTGGAAGAACCTGTAGAGCTCGAATTATGAAATTTGGTACTAAAATTGTACTCAATTTTAATTTAAATCATGTTTAAAAAAATGATTTTTTAAATATTTTTTAAAAACAATGATTTTTATAAAAATATAATTTTTAATAATTTTTTATAAAAATATGTTTTCAATGATTTTTTTTTTGTTATAAAAATATTTTTTAAATGAGTTTTTTTTATATATTTTTAAATGATTTTTATAAAAAATATTGTTTATAAAAAACATGATATTTTTAATATTTTTTTAAGAAAACATGATTTTTTAAAAAAATATTTTTGGAATGATTTTTTTATAAAAATTTTTTTAAATATTTTTTTTAAAAATATTTTTTTTTAATTTTTTATAAATAATTTTTTTAACTATTTTTTTATAATAATCGTTATCAAAAGGTTTTATTCTTAAAAAAATCCTAAGATTTCAATTGAATTTTTTAATAGAAGAAAAAATCTCTAGAATCCGATCACTTATTTATTCATCCCATATAAAAATAAAAATTTTATAATATTTATTTATTTTATGGTATTTTTGTTTTGCTCGTTGTTTTCGTAGATAATTGCATTTTTTTGTTATTTTTTTTTTTGTATTACCGTTGATGCAGAAAGTTGTTTACCTTGCGTTTTATTTATTTATTTTTTGATAATGTCTTGTGGTATCTTTATTTTGTTGATGACGGTTGGTGGTGGTCACCTGCTCAGCTCACCGTGGTTGGGGTAGGAGAGAATTTTGAAATTGATATTTCGATGTTAGTCTAGGTGTACAGAAAAATGTCTCTTTGTTCCATGGTATTGGTCTAATTTTTTTTAATTTTTATTTTTTTTTTGAATTTTTATTTTGTTGTTTTGCCCCGGCATTATTGCTGCTGCAAACCGTCTGGACATCATTTATTATTTTTTAGTTATTTTTTTTATTTACTTTTATTGTCATTAATAATCAAAATAAATTTTTTTCTTTGTGTTCTCAATTTTTTTTCGCGTGCATTTTTATTATCACCTTTAATGGTGGCAATAATATTTTAACAACAAAAAATTAAGGTCTTTGACACCCACCAAACAGTTGAGGTTGTGGCAAATTTCTTTGTGAAATTCGAAATCGCATTTTTTCTCAGGGTCTGGCCAGGTTCTTCTGGAAGTAGTATAATCTTTTACTTTTTTTTTTTTTTTTTGTTAAAAATATTTTAAATAAATTTTTTGAATTGAATTTTTCCTGCTTTTCAATATGAAGTCGTTTTAGTTTCGGTTCAAGTCTTTTCAGTCTTGTTTGGTTTTGCTTTAAATTTCCATTACAATGGCTTGCTTGCTGGTCGCCCTTTTTTACGCTTTAACTAAATCGCGCTACGCTTTAATTATTATTATTTGTATACAAATATGGAGGTATGGCTGTGTGTGTATACACTTCAAGGCCATTACAAAAATAAATACCAAAAACAAAAAAAAAAAAAAAAAAAAAATGTAAAAACGCCAATATTTTTATCAGCCAATTTTGTATTGATTATTTTTGAAAATCAAAAAATCCAAAAATAAAAAAAGTCGACGACCGCATTTCTCTCTTATCGCTCTCCCTCTCTCTCCACATATCTCTTAATTCCGAAATATTTAATACATTTGTTTTCTAATTATAAATTATTGTGACATTTTATTGTTGTTGTTTTTGCTTTTCTAATCCGTGTTCCATTATTCACCTGTCCATGACGCAGTGATTCTAAGAATTTCTAAATTTATTTATTTATTCAATTATTTATTTTTGTCAATTTTTTTCTATTTCCAGAATCTTGGATCGAATTGAGTACAGCTGCCACAATGGCCGGCGTTAAAAGTCCAGACAGAATAACACCCTTGCCCTTTGCCAACGGTGAAGAATATTTACGTCTGTTGCGTGAGGCTCAACGTGAATCGAATCAATCCAGTCGAGTGGTCTCATTGGCTAGCTCACGGCGTGATACGCCCAGAGACAGGTAAGAGACAGGTTCCAAAACACCCTAGAACAAGTAGGGCGGAGCTTTATGTGGGGGGTTATACCAAAACGAGGACCGATATATATATGGTTTTTGGCCATTTCTGGTGTAAAATGTATCCAAAATCCGCAAAAAAAAAGTTGCGGTTATATGGTAGCTACCCTGAAACTTGGGTCGATATTTATAATTTTTGGTAGGAGTTTTTGACACCCAGCAAGAACCCAGAATACCGAATTATAGCCCAATACGGATGCAAAACGTGACCAAAATCCCCAAAAAGCTAAAATTGGGAGGTACTGCTGTATGTGGCCTATACTAAAACATGAACCGATATTGATGATTTTTAGTAGAAAGATTTGTCAGCCACATAGAACCCAAAATATCAAAATAGACCCGATTCGATTGAAAAACGAGTCTGAAATTCCAAAAATAAAGAAAATTTTGGGGCTATATCCAAACATGGGCTGATGTTTATTGTTTTTGGTTGGGAGGTATGATACCTAAAGATAATTTAAAATATGAAATTTGAACCAATTCGGTTGAAAACCGTGTCAGAAACCCTTACAAATTTGAGATATTCAGGGTACTTTTACGGGAGTTATCCTAAAAATGGAACAATATTGATAATTTTGGTAGGAATATTTTTCAGCCTAAGAGAACCCCAATTATTAAATTTCAGCAAATTCGGTTGAAAACCGTGTCGGTAATCCTTAAAATTCGAAAAATTCTGGGGTACTTTTGTACGGGAGTTATCCCAAAAAGTGGACAAATATTGGTAATTTTTGGCAGGAAGATTTTTTAGCGTAAGAGAACCCCAATTATAAAATTTGAGCAAATTCGGTTAAAAAATGTCCTTGAAATACTCCAACTTCGGAAAATAAAGGGTACCTTTATATGGGAGCTATCCTAAAAAGTGGACCAATATTGGTAATTTTTGGCAGAAAGATTTGTTAGCCTAAGAGAACTCCAAATATAAAATTTCAGCAAATTCGGTTGAAAACCCTGTCGCAAATCCTTAAAAATCGAAAAATCCGGGGTACTTTTGTACGGGAGTTATCCTTAAAAGTGGACCAATATTGGTAATTTTTGGCAGGAAGATTTTTTAGCCTATGAGAACCCCAATTATAAAATTTGAGAAAATTCGGTTGAAAACAGAGTCGGAAATCCTTAAAATTCGAAAAATTCAGGGTACTTTTGTACGGGAGTTATCCTAAAAGGTGGACCAATTTGGATAATTTTTGTTAAGAAGATTAGAAACCTTATGAGAACCCCAAATATCAAATATGAAAAAAATCGATTGGAAATCGAGACCAATCTCCTCAAATTCCGAAAAATGCGGGTTACCCTTAACCCTTAAAGATGGACCGATATTAATTATTTTTTGTTGGAAGATTTTGCAACCAAAAAGAACCCAAAATATCAAATATGAGACAATTCGGATGAAATACATGTCAGAAATCCCTAAAACATGGAATATTAAGGGTACGGTTATATGGGGTCTACCATAAGAAGTGGACCAATATTGGCAATTTTTGGTAGGAAAATTTTCCTGTCTAAGAGGACCCAATATATCAAATATAAGACAATACGGTTAAAAACCGTGTCTGAAATCCTTAAAATACCGAATATTGGAGGTACCGTTACATGGGAGCTACCCTGAAACTTATTCCAATATTGATAATTTTTGGCAGGAAGATTTTAAACCTCATGAGAACCCCAAATATCGAATTTGAACAAAATCGGTGGAAACCCGTGTCGGTAATCCTTAAAATTCGAATAATCCAGGGTACTTTTGTACGATAGCTATCCAAAAAAGTGGACCGATATTGATCATTTTTTGGTAGGAAGATTTCAGACCTAATGAGAAACCCAAAATATAAACTTTGTAGCTATTCGGTTAAAAAGTGAAGCCAATCTCCTCAAAATTCGACGGGTTACCGTTAAATAGGGGCTTCCCTAAAAAGTGGACCGATATTAATAATATTTGGTAAGAGATGTTAAACCTCATGAGAACCCCAAATATCAAATTTTAACCACTTCGGTTTAAAATATGATGCCAAAATCCTCAAACTACCGAAAATGGAGGTTACGGTTATATAGGATCGACCCCGAAACTTGGGCCGAAATTTATAATTTTTGGTAGGAGGATTTGTCACCTAATGAGAATCCCAAATATCAAATTTTAATCAATTCGGTTGAAAACCGTGTCGGAAATCCTCAAAATATGAAAAATTTATGGCACTTTTGTGTGGGAGCTATCCCAAAAAGTGGACCAATATTAATCATATTTGGTAGGAAGATTTTCCATCCTAAGGTAACCCAAAATATAAACTTTGAAGCAATTCGGTTAAAAAACGAAGCCAATCTCCTCATAATTCGACAAATTCGAGTTACCGTTATAATGGGGGCTACCCTAAAAAGTGGACCGATATTAATAATATTTGGTAGGAAGATGTCAAACCTCATGAGAACCCCAAATATAAAATTTGAACTACTTCGGTTATTAAATGTGTCCAAAATTCTTGAAATACCGAAAATTAAGGGTACGGTTATATGGAATCTACCCCGAATCTAAGGCCGATATTTATAAATTTTGGCAGGAAGATTTCAAACCCCATGAGAACCCCAAATATCAAATTTGAGCAAAATCGGTTAAAAATTGGTTCTTAATATTCTCCAAATTCGGAAAATTAAGGGTACGTTTATATGGGAGCTATCCTAAAAAGTGGCCCAATATTGATAGAATTTGGTAGGAAGATTTCAGACCTATAGAGAACCCCAAATATAAAATTTCAACCAAATCGGTAAAAAAAACTTGCCCGAAATTCTCAAAATATCGAAAATTGAGGGTAAGGTCGGTCTATGGGGACTACCCGAAGAAAATGGCCAATATTGATCATTTTTGGTAAGAGGATTTTCCAGCCAAAGAGAACCAAAAATATCAAATTTGAACCAATTCGTTTGGAAAACGCGGCCAATAGCCTCAAAAAGCAAAATTTTGGGAGGTATCGATGTATGGGGTCTACCCGGAAACCTCGACCAAAGATGATAAATTTTGGTAAGGAGATTTTCTATCCTAAAATATCAAATTACATTCAAATCGGTTAAAAAACTAACCCAAGCTCCCCAAAAAGAGAAATGTGGAAGGTCCCTTACATTAGGACTACCCCGAAACTTCGACCAATGTTGATATATTTTGGTTTCAAGGTTTTTCAGCCTAAGACTACCAAGAATATTAATTTCGATCCCATTTGTTTAAAAAAAAACGAACCCAAACTCCCAAAAAAGAGAAATTTTAAAGGTACTTCTATATGGGGTCTACTCTAAAAAGTGGGCCAATATGTATTATTTTTTCTTGGACGATTTGTGACCGAATAAGAATCCAAAATACCAAATTACAGCCAATTCGGTTGATAAACGAAGCTAAACATCCCAAATATAGAAATTTCGGAGGTACCTTTATATGGGGCCTACCCTAAAAAGTGGACCAATATGGATTATTTTTGGTTGGGAGGTTTACTTCCCAACGTGTACCCTTAATACCAAATTACAACCTAATCGCTTGAAAAATGTGCTCGAAATCGCCAAAAAGAGAAATTTGGAAGGTACCTTTATGTGGGACCTACACCGAAAATTGGACCGATATTGACTATTTGTAGTAGGTAGGTTTGCTACCCAACGAATAGCCAAAATATCCAATTCTAGCCAATTTGGTTGAAATAACGTGCTCAAAATCGCCAAAAAAAAAGAATTTGGAAGGTACCCTTATATGGGAGCTATGCCGAAACTTGGACCAATATTAATAATTTTTGGTGGAGAGATTTGCTACCCAACGACTACCCCAAATACCAAATTCCAACTAATTTGGTTGAAAACCCTGCCCAAAATCCCCAAAAACGGAAATTTTTGAGGTACCTATATATGGTGGCTACTCCGAAATTTGGTCCTATATTGATAATTTTTGGTAAGAAGATTTTCTAAGCAATGAGGACCTTAAATAACAAATACCACCCGATTCGGTTGAAAGAACGTGCCCAAAATCGCCAAAAAGAAAAATTTTGGAGGTACCTTTTAATGGGGGCTACCCCGAAAAGGGGACCAATAATGATAATTTTTAGTAGGGAGGTTCGTTAACCAATGACAACCCAAAATATGAAATTTCAGCCAATTTGGTTGAAAAAACATGCCTAAAATCTCAAAAAAGGGAAATTTGGGAGGTACCTCTATATGGGGACTACTCCGAAAAGTAGATCGATAATGACAATTTTTAATAGGGAGGTTTGTTACCCAATGAGAACCCAAAATACCAAATTCCAAACAATTCGCTCGTGTAACATGCCCAAAATTCGCAAAATCGAAAATTTGGGAGGTACTTCTATGGGGGATGCCCTTAAAAGTTTTTAGTAGAGAGATTTGTTACACAATGAGAACCCAAATAACCAAATTTCAGCCAAATCGACTGAAAAAATTTGCCCAACTTCCCAAAATCGAAAATTTGGGAGGTACCTTTATATGGAGCTTATTCCGAAAATTGACCGATATTGACAATTTTTAATAGGGAGAATGTTTGTTACCCAAGTGAGAACCCAAAATACCAAAATTCGCAAAATCGAAAATTTGGGAGGTACCTTCATATGGGGCCTACCCCGTAAAGTTCACCGATATTGACAATTTTTAGTAGGGAGGTTTTGCTACCCAATGAGAATCCAAAATACCAAATTCCAAACAATTCGCTTGTGAAATGTGCCCAGAAATTCGCAAAATCGAAAATTTGAGAGGTATTTCTATATGGGGGGATACCCTGAAAAGTTGACCAATTTTGTTAAATATCGATAGGCAGATTTTCTCTCAAAACTAATATTTAAAATATTATAAAATTTGTTCAGTGATTCATTTTTGTTTTCGTTTTTTTCCTTTCTTTCCAGCCCAAAATCACCACCAAATAGTCCAAATACAGAGCTGTGCCCCGATGAGGAACTGAAAAATGTTTATATTAATTATTGGAATAAGGTATGGATTATATTTCTTCAAATTCCATTAAATTTCAAAATAATGTAAATTTTTTTAATTTCCCCTTTCGTTTTTTTTAGACTGGCGATGCAAAAGACAATAGCGATTGGTTGGACGAATGGAACAGCCGACCAGATCAACAGCCACCAAAGTAAGTTAATTATTTTTTTTTCTTACTCAAATTTTGAAAATTTCTAATTGGATTTTTTTTCTGTTTTATTTCTTATTTTTTCCAGAGATTGGAAATTTGAACATCCCCAGAATCAACAGAAAAAGAAAACCGCCGGTTATTCTATACGCTTGACCCGTCTGGGCAAGAATTCATTGTTCTCGCGTGAAATCCTCTATTCCTTAATATTGTCAAATGTATTGTCATTGTTACTGGGAGCTGGTTTGGGGTAAGTTTTTGAAATTGAAATTTGAATTTTGGGAACTGTTACTAATTATTTTTTTCTTTTCTCTATCTCTGTTTTTTAGGTTATGGCTTAGCAAACGTGGCATTTTGTTTACCCGAGTGGTTATCGACTGAAGTGTTTTATTTTTTTATACTACTTTTTCGTTTTTTTTTCGTCTATTCTTCTTCTTCACCTCCAAAACGATTCTCGTTTGAATTTCTTTTTTATTTCTAAAAAAACAAAAACGATCTTTATATACATATATATAAAAAATACATACATATATAATATATTATATATATAATACATAAACGTTAGCTATGTAAGGTGTAATATTTTTTTATATATATAACTTATCGATAATGGAGGTCCAGGTGTTGTTAGGAGGAGGAGGAGGAGAAGGGACATGTAGTGGAATGTTTGAAAAAAAAGAAAACAGTATTGTCATCATTTTAATGGTGTCACTGATGATCCCGCAATATATATATATATATATATATATATATCCACCCTGACTTTCTGGACCTACTATGTATCTTTTTATTTTATTTTAATTACCTTTTTTTGTTTTCTTTTTATTGGTTTTGTGTCCTCACAAAAAAAATAAATCTGCAAGGGCTCAGGTTACAAAATGAATTTAAAAGAAAAATATTAGAAAATTTTCCAAAAAATCTTTTTTTAATTAATTTTTTTATTAAAAAAAAAAAATAAAATTTATAAAAAAAGTATTCCATTGTAATTTGTTTTTTTTTTTTAATTTCCATGGCCCAAATTGAATTCAAAAAAATAATTTAAAATATTTTTTCCAAAACCCGCCACACTTTTTTCTGGGTAGTTTATAGTAATTTTTGTATAATTATTTTCAATATTTTTTTAAATCATTATTTTTATAAAAAAAAAAACAAGAATTGAAACAACAGCAGAGTTACACATTTACATTTCAAAAAAAAAAGTTGGCTAGGCATTTTGTTTTTGTTAAAAACGAAACGAAACAAAAATGAATTAATAAAAAAACCAACAACAAGATATAACGTACATTTTTTTATTATTCTTAAAACAAAAACAAGTTTTTTTATTATTAATAATAATAATATTAAATATACATAATATATATACAATAAATACCCCCCTCTTTTTTATATATACATTAAAAGTCATTGATATAAAAACAAAAAATTAAAAAAAAAAAAACAACAACAAAAAAATAAAACAAAATGAAAAAAATATTTTTTATTTAAATTTAGAATTCATATTTTTTATTAAATTAAATAATAATTAAAAAAATCTATTTAAATAATTATAAAAAACAAAAAATCGATGCGTCGAAATTTTTAGATACAATCACAATAAAAAAAATAAAAATTCCAAAAACAAATATGAGTTTTATTTCAACTATAAAGGAGCCTAAAGGGTCTCATACAGAGGGGCTAAAAGGAGTCTCTAAGGATGAGTTGAAGGGAGTCTTTATAGACGGGCTGAAGGGAGTCTTTATAGAGCTGGAGGTAGACTTATGGACGAGCTGGAGGGAGTCTTTACAGACCAGCTGAAGGAGGTCTTCTTTCTTTATAGACTAGCTGAAGGTGAATCAGCTGAAGAAAATGAATCTAGAAAATAGAAACTATGCCAAAATATAAAAAATTATAAACTATAAGAATTGTAAGAATTTAATTATAAAGAAATTTAAAAACAGCTAGGTGATCGCATCCAGGTACCACCGCCATCTTTTCAATCAGCTTCTTCTATTGGCACCTCCTCCTTTGTCTGCCGGCTTCTTCTTCCAACCTAAACCATCGGTCATAGTCATCATCAGCTTCTTGGTCAAACGATTTCCAAGTGGCTTGTCCGCATCATTGCCCCTCACCATCATATCTATTCCATTTGCAAGCCTGATCATGTCAGCGACTTCTTTCTTCATCTTGTTCCCGCTTCTGACCACAGACACCATTTGGGTGTGCTTTGCCATCGTTATTGGCACCAAACTCGTCCCTCTTCGACTGAACCCCTCAACTTTGTTTCTATTACTGGCCACAACCATCGATCGTTGGCAGCATATTACAAGCGGCTGCTGGATCCAACTTCCAAGCCGCCTTTTCACGATTTATAGCCGCAATTTTCCTGGCCGCAAGATCCTTAATTTCCGGCTTTCGCTTACCGTCCCAATCATTTCCGGCTTTCGCTTACCGTCCCTTATGGACTTTCTTTTTCATCGGACTCAACTTGACTTCATCGGATTCAACTTCCATAGCCAACTCGACTGGAGCTATTTCCTGTACAAATGGAATATTACTTACTTGCAGCTCCTTATTGTCATTGGCAACCATTCTTATGACCAGCTGGTCACGTCCGGCCTCTGTTGATCGACGGTTCTTCTCCGAAAGATCCAGTTCTTTCAAAAGCTTCCTTTTCTCTTCCCATGATTTTTCTGCTGCCTGGGCTTTGTCTGCAGCCGCCACCAAATCACCTTCAAGCTTGCGAAGTTGATAGTGAAATTCGATTGGAGCTATTTCTTGTGCAAATGGAATATTACTTACTTGCCGCTCCTTATTGTCATTGGCAACCATTCGTATGACCAACTGGTCACGTTCGGCCTCTGTTGATCGACGGTTCTTCTCCGAAAGATCCAGTTCTTTCAAAAGCTTCCTTTTCTCTTCTTCACATGATTTTTCTGCTGCCTGGGCTTTGTCTGCAGCCGCCACCAATTTCACCTTCAAGCTTGCGATCTTGGTAGTGAAATTCGATGCATGTATCTCTAGCCTCCTCATACCTTACCTGCGCCCTTTCTTTAAGCCCACCATTGGCGTCTTCCGATCTATTTAGAGCAAGCTCTTTATTCCTTGCCCGTAACTCAGCCACGTCACGGCTTTTCTCTTACAATGCTCTTGAAGGCTGCCCATTTGTTCTTGGGCTGGATTTCTTCTCCAATATCTCCATCCACCGATCCCGACCCATCTGGAGACTGTATCTCCCCCATATTCATAGTCGTATCCATTTCATTGATAGCCCCTGCACACATGTCAATATTAGTTAGTTTATTTCCACCTGAAGTTGGGTCGATGCCGAGGCTTTGCCTAGCTTATCTTCCAGGGTAAGGGACTCCATCGTCTCATTCCTTTCATCTGCAGCCGTTATGCTCAGAATCGAAGCTTCACTGGCTAAATGTCTCGCCGCCTTCTTCCTTGCCGCAGTCTCCTTTTGTCTCAGCATTTTATTTTTCCATTTTTTTCCTTCTGTAGATTTTTCACCAAACTGACAGAATTTCCTTGACCTTTAAGGTAATTGTTCAGCATACCTTTCTTTCTTTCGATCGGTCATTGATCCGGTTGTGAAGGTGGTCTCTATAGATCAGCCTGAAGGTGGTCTCTATAGACCAGCCTGAAGGTGATCTCTATAGACCAGCCTGAAGGTGATCTCTATAGACCAGCCTGAAGGTGGTCTCTATAGACCAGCCTGAAGGTGATCTCTATAGACCAGCCTGAAGGTGGTCTCTATAGACCAGCCTGAAGATGGTCTCTATAGACCAGCCTGAAGGTGGTCTCTATAGAACAGCCTGAAGTTGGTCTCTATAGACCAGCCTGATGTTGGTCTCTATAGACTAGCCTGAATGTGGTCTCTATAAACCAGCTGAAGGTGGTCTCTATAGACCAGCCTGAAGGTGGTCTCTATAGACCAGCCAGAAGGTGGTCTCTGTAGACCAGCCTGAAGATGGTCTCTATAGACCAGCCTGAAGGTGGTCTCTATAGACCAGCCTGAAGATGGTCTCTATAGACCAGCCTGAAGGTGGTCTCTATAGACCAGCCTGAAGATGGTCTCTATAGACCAGCCTGAAGATGGTCTCTATAGACCAGCCTGAAGGTGGTCTCTATAGAACAGCCTGAAGTTGGTCTCTATAGACCAGCCTGAAGTTGGTCTCTATAGACTAGCCTGAAGGTGGTCTCTATAAACCAGCTGAAGGTGGTATCTATAGACGATATGGAGGCGATCTTTATAGATTTTTAGTTTGGCAACTCTAGTCTATTTTTTCGAACACTTGATCAACCGTACCCTCCCACTTGGGTAACCCTATTTATCATCTGGTTTTGTTTTGATTCACTATTCTACCCTTTAACCACATATTCGTAAATAATGCACGGCATTATCGACCTGCATGGTTCAACTTCTAGTTCCGCTAAGTGAATAATTTTCCTATTTGAACTGTGGCCGTGTGTGTGTGTGTCAACAATGCCGGTTCTCATGCAGTCTCCTCCATCCCACCTCATTCGTAAATATTTCGTTATACTTCTTTGAGTTCTCGTCTTTATCTGCCATATTGTCTTCTCCTCCCATTCGTTAGCAAGTGGAACGTTTTTCATTTTTTTTTTATCCCGAATTACAACATCAACATGATGTTTTCACGAAATATTCGGATTTTAACCAAACTCACAATAAATCAATTAAAATTGACACAAAATGTCACGGGACAACGTTTCCTGAGGGGTGCCAGGCCTAAGGTAAGGAATCTGATCTGGGATCTAGAGATATTTTTATAAAGAAATAGCTTTTGTTTTACGTAGAGTAATTTGTCGGCATGCGGATTCTGCCATAGGAGAGGTGATAGTTTTCGATAGAAGTGTTTGGAAGGCCGGATATCTCTACATTATGGAAGAGCTTCAGATAGTCTTTATAGACCGAGAAGGTCTTTATTGATCGAATGAAGGGAGTCTTTATAGACAGTGCTGAAGGAAAATTTTTAAACGAGCAGAAGGCGGAATTTATAGACCCTCTGAAGGTGGACTTTATAGATAAGCTGAAGGCGAATTTTATAGACCTTCAGAATGTGGAATTTATAGACCATCTTAAGCTGATGGGGACATTTTTAAACGAGCATAAGACAGACATTCTGGATCATCTGAAGGTGGTCTTTACAGACCAGCTGAAGGACATTATAGACGAGTTGGATTAGGCCTTTATAGATGTGTTGGAGGAGGTTTTAATAGACCAGTTGAAGAGGGTCTTTATGATGGTGGACTTTATAAGCCAGTTGAAGGTTGTCTTTATAGACCAGCTGATGGCGGTCTTTATAGACTAGCTGATGGTGGTCTTCATAGATCAGTTGATGGTGGTCTTTACAGACCAGCTGAAGGCCTTTATAGATGTGTTGGAGGAGGTCTTTTTAGACGGGTCTTTATATGATTTTATAGACCAGCGGATGGTGGTCTTCCTAGTCGAGCTGTAGGGAGATTTAATCGTGAAGGTGGTCTCTACAGATTAGGTGGAGGTGATTTTTATAGACCATCTGAAGGAGGACTTTGTAGACCAGGTGAGGGCTGACGTTATAGATAATCTGAAGACGATCTTTATATACCATTTTAAGGCGGTTTTTAGAAAACATCTCAAGGAGCATATATTGACCATAACATAGCTTTCTTTATAGATGATCCGAAGGAAATTTTTTAGACGAGCAATGGAAGATAATCGTTATGAAGTCTGGCCTGAAGAGGCCATTTTTAGACGATTTGAAAGAATTCCTTATAGACTTCGTGCAGAAGAAGGTTCTTTTGTTAGAAAAGCTTATGAGCATCTTTATAGACGCTGAAGTCTTCCTTTATGTGTGGATGAGGTATTTAAAGACGGACTGAAGGCAGTATTTTTTGAAGAAATGATGGGGCCGAAAATCTATGCCGAATATTTTTGAATTCCGAATTCCGTCCCTGTACAACTAATGTTTCTGCTTTCCCCCCTTTCTAGATCGAATACAAAGCCCTGCCAACACCACTCACGGAAAAAGAACCAGATCCCGTGGAAATGGCAAAAAAGGAGTTAGCCGAATTGACAGGTGGTATGGATCTGAATGAATTGAAGGCCATATTAGAACCCACAAAGAAACATAAAACACAACTTCCCGCAACAACAAAAGAAGGCGATACCCCAACAGAATTACAAACAGAGCAGGAAACCCCACCAGGGCTACAACCCACTTACAATTTGGCTGCCTATGTAAATAAATCCGAATTATTGCAGAATTTCATAAAAATGGGTGTCGACTTAAGTGCCATCGAAAAACGTAAAGGCTTAGCACAATTTGTCCTAACCTTAGATATGGAAAAAGATGTCCATCCACGTTTGCTATTTCTCCAGGATCACGGTGTCCCAGCGGAATATTTTGGTGAACTTATTACAAAAAATCCTTTAATATTTAAAGTCGATTTAGATGATATGCAGGTTAGGGTAAATTATTTGGAAGCGAAACGTTTCTCTAAAGTACAAATACAACGTATCCTAACCCTTAACCCTTTTTGGTTGATGTTCTCCACCAAACGCATCGACAAACGTTTGGGTTATTTTCAAAAAGAATTTTCGCTGCGCGGTGATGATGTTCGTTATTTGTGCAGCAAACAGCCCCGCTTGATTACCTATAACATGCAACATCTGGCCGATGCGACATTTTGTGTGCGCGAAGAAATGGGTTTCAACAAGGAGGAGATAAAGGTATTGCTGTTGAGTAAACCGCGGCTGTGGATGTTGAGTGGGTATTCCGGGTATTCCTCTTATTATGAAATATATTGTAAATGTTATTTTTTTCTTGCAGAACCGGATGACTTAATAGAACGTTTCGCCTATGCCCACAATGAAATGAAATTATCTCATCAAATGTTGCTGCAGCAGCCGGAAATTTTAACATCACGCGAATTTCGTCTACGCGAACGCCATGAGTTTCTGAAAATGTTGGGCCGTGCCCAATATGATCCCGATAAGGATATGTACATATCTCCTAAGGCTTTGGTCGAGGGTAATAATCATCATTTTGTTCGCAAGGTGGCGAAGAGTGATATGGAAACGTTTGAATTGTTTCTGAAAAGTCGTTAAATGTTAAGAAAAAATTAATTGTTGATTAGTTGTAGTTTTTATAAGCTAATTAATTTTTATAAATTAAGAAAAAATCGTATTGAAAAAAATATACAATTTTGAGAGATATTTATGATGAAGAGGTTTTTCAATAGAGGACATAAAGCTGGTCTATAAAGAGGAGCTGAAGTGGGTTTGAATAGTCGAGGTGAAGAAGGTATTTCTAGACCAGCTGGTGACGGTCTTTATAGACCAGCTGAAGGTGGTCTTCTTTATAGACCAGCTGAAGGTGGTCTTCTTTATACACCAGCTGATAATGGTCTTTATAGACCAGCTGAAGGTGGTCTCCTTTCTTTATAGACCAGCTGAAGGTGGTCTTCTTTCTTTATAGACCAGCTGAAGGTGGTCTTCTTTCTTTATAGACCAGCTGAAGGTGGTCTTCTTTCTTTATAGACCAGCTGAAGGTGGTCTTCTTTCTTTATAGACCAGCTGAAGGTGGTCTTCTTTCTTTATAGACCAGCTGAAGGTGGTCTTCTTTCTTTATAGACCAGCTGAAGGTGGTCTTCTTTATAGACCAGCTGAAGATGGTCTTTATAGACCAGCTGATGATAATGGTCTTTATAGACCAGCTGATGATGATGGTCTTTATAGATGGTCTTTTATAGACCAGCTGAAGGTGGTCTTCTTTATAGACCAGCTGAAGGTGGTCTTCTTGATAGACCAGCTGATGGTGGTCTTCATGATAGACCAGCTGAAGGTGGTCTTCTTGATAGACCAGCTGAAGGTGGTCTTCTTGATAGACCAGCTGAAGGTGGTCTTCTTGATAGACCAGCTGAAGGTGGTCTTCTTGATAGACCAGCTGAAGGTGGTCTTCTTGATAGACCAGCTGAAGGTGGTCTTCATGATAGACCAGCTGAAGGTGGTCTTCTTGATAGACCAGCTGAAGGTGGTCTTCTTGATAGACCAGCTGAAGGTGGTCTTCTTGATAGACCAGCTGAAGGTGGTCTTCTTGATAGACCAGCTGAAGGTGGTCTTCTTGATAGACCAGCTGAAGGTGGTCTTCTTGATAGACCAGCTGAAGGTGGTCTTCTTGATAGACCAGCTGAAGGTGGTCTTCTTTATAGACCAGCTGAAGGTGGTCTTTTGTAGACCCTCTGAAGGTGGTCTTTTATAGACCAGCTGAAGGTGGTCTTTTATAGACCAGCTGAAGGTGGTCTTTTATAGACCAGCTGAAGGTGGTTTTATTGTCGTGGTGAAGGGAGTTTTTATAGACGAGGTGGAGGATTTATTGAAGAGTTGGAGGAGGTCTTTATAGATGAGTGGACGAGGCAATCTTTATAGACTAGCTGAATGGAGCTTTTATAGACCAGCTGAATCGAGTTTTTAAAGATGACCTGAGGGTGTAGACCAGCTGAAGGCAGTCTTTATAATCGAGCTGAAGGGAGTTTTTATAGACGAGGTGAAGGATTTATTGATGAGATGGAGGAGGTATTTATAGACGAGTTGGAGGAGGCTTTTAAAGATGAGATGGGCGGACTCTTTAAAGACATAAAGCTGCTAATGGCGGTCTTTTCAAAGCTGGCACACCTCTCGACCTGAAATTCTTATTCCACTTTCTTGTAATGCAAAACACAACCTGCTGAAGTAAGATTCAAAACGAATTTTTATTTTTTTCACTTTTTTTCCTTAATATCACAACATTCATAGTAGATAATATCCGGAACACATGCCTGATATTTTTCATCAAAGAAATAATCACGTATACATTCTTTGTCCTCAACCGGTGCACCATCCTTACAGATAACATAGTTGTGACAGTTATTTTTTCCACTTGTCACCATCAGATTACCGCGTCCATCACAACGATTATAATCACATTTGACATCGATTGGATTTACACATGCCTGTTTGGCTTCACTGAAAAATGTACCCTCCGGACATTGGCCCCAAATCGGTTCCAAATCTTCGACAATACCCAAATCGCGACAATAAAAATAACCACGACATGTCGCCTCATCTGCCTTATAGGCATTCTTAACTTTGTTGCAGATCTTATCCGGTATTGGATGGGCGTTGCACACGACCAGCGATTTGTCAACACACTTTTCCGCTTGGACATCATAGAATTGTTTGGTGCACGATTTAGCGGATGGTAGATTTTTGGAACATTCATAATATTTGGCACAATCTTTTTCGTTGCGGAACTTAGTCTTGTCCGGTACCAATTCACAGATGCTGGACACATCGACACACGATGATGTTTTCGTATAGACGCACATTTGCAGCTTCTCATCGAAATGCATACCGGTCGGGCAGGGTCCCCAATTGGGTTCGCCTTTGGCACAATAGAAAAATCCATGACAATTGGTTGGATCCGATACCCAGACACCGTCTTTGCCCTCACAACGATTGTGACAGAGTTTATTGGTGCTCGATTTTAGATCTACACATTTTTGGGATTTCACATCGAAAGCTTTACTGGAGCCGCAATTGTGTATTGTTGCATTGCTGCTGCTGTGGCATTCGATATATTCGTTGCAGGAACCGGGTACCGCAACAAGGGTGCCATCCTTAAATAGGCGACACAATTCTATATAATCTTCGGCTCGAACATCGGCTGCTTTAGAATCGTTGGGAAACGATGCTAGGATGAGTGCCAATGCCAAAGGCAAATAACAGAGGGCTGAAATGATGGGAAATAGAAAAATGAAGTTATAAAAGGGATTTTTGGGAAATTATGTGTTAGGTGATGCGGAGGGAATCTTTATAGGGGAGGGAATCTTTGTAGGGAAGGTGAAAGCAGTCTTTACAGAGCTGAAAAAGTTTTTATAGGCGAGATGTAGTGGTGAAGGGAAACTTTATAGAAAAGCGTAAGGCAGTCTTTATAGACGAGCTGAGGGAAGTCTTTATAGGCGAGCTGGAGGGAGTCTTTATAGACGAGCTGAAGGGAGTTTTTATAGACCAGCTGATGGGAGTCTTTATAGGCAAGCTGATGGGAATCTTTATAGACGTGCTGAAGGGAGTTCTTAAAGACGAGCTGAAGGGAGTCTTTATAGACCAGACGAGCTGAAGGGTGCTTTTGTAGACGAGCTGAAGGGAGTCTTTGTAGACAAGCTAAAGGGAGTCTTGATAGACGAGCTGAAGGGAGTCTTTATAGACGAGCTGAAGGGAGTCTTTATAGACCAGCTGATGGGAGTCTTTATAGACGAGCTGGAGGGAGTTTTTATAGGCGAGCTGAAGGAAGTCTTTATAGACCAGCTGATGGGAGTATTTATAGACGAGCTGGAGGCTATCTTTATAGACGATCTAAATGATGTCTTTAATGACGAGCTGAAGGGAGTCTTTATAGTCCAGCTGATGGGAGTCCTTATAGACGAGCTGAATGGAGTCCTTATAGACGAGCTGAAGGGAGTCCTTATAGACGAGCTGAAGGGAGTCTTTATAATCAAACTGAAGGTAGTTTTTATAGATGAGTTGAGGGGAATCCTAATAGACGAAAAATATAATCGCCTTCTGATCTGTAGATCTGTAAATCCTTGAAAATAATTTTAAAAATGTCTACGAATATTGGTCTCCAGATCCCTTAAACCAAAATTATCAAACTGTAGATCCCTTAAAAACACTCAAAGGTAATATTTATAGTCAAACTGAAGGTTTTTTTGGTTTGTTTTCAATTAGTGGCAATTACGCCCTCTATATTTCATTTTAGGAGGTTGTTATTAATGGAAAAAATATTCTCTACAAAATTTTACCGTAGGTCACCAAACTAAGAAATCCTCTAAATGTTATAAATATTGTCGAAATTTCACAATAACATAGGAATATATTTATAAAAATTGTATTTAAGATTGTTTTTGAATTGATGGCAATAACGCCCTCTATATTTCATTTTAGGAGGTTGTTATCAATGGAAAATATGTTCCTCGCAAAATTTTACCGTAGGTCACAAAACAAAGAAATCCTCTAAATGTTATAAATATTCTCGAAATTTCACAATAAAATAGGAATATACTTATAAAAATCACATTTAAGATTGTTTTTGGATTGATGGCAATTACGCCCTCTATATTTCATTTTTGCAGGTTGATGTCAATGGAAAAAGTATTCCTTACAAAATTTTACTATAGGTCACGAAACAATAGATATATGTAGATATTATACGCTATATTTCACTATTAGACTTAAATTAATTTGTAATAGTATTTACATTCAGTAATTTACAACTAATTTCGAATAATCGGTAATAACTCCCTCTATATGTCATGTTAGGAGTTTAATGTCAATGGAAAAAAATTCCTTGTAAAATTTTACTGCGGATAAAGGTACAAAATTGTAAATATTATAGATATTCCCTAAATTTGCCTAAGACAACATTTACGAAAGTAACTTCCTGAATATTTTCATTTTAGTTGTTTTGGATATTTTGCAATTACTCCCTCTATATTTCATTTTGGAATATTGATGTCAATGGAAAAAATATTCCTTATAAAATTTCACTAGCGATCAAGAAACAAAATTCACCTGTCGCTTCGTTAAATTACCCTATAAACGGAGAATAATTTTAAAGAAGTAATATTCTGAATAATTTATACCTCATTTGAATTAGTTGACCATAACTCCCTCTATATGTAATTGTAGGAGATTAATGTCAAGGGGAAAAATATTCTTTGTAAAATTTCACTATAGATCAAGGAATAAAATATAACAGTACACTCTATAAATATTCGTTTAATTTCATTATTAGAGTTGGACATACTGCTAAATTTATTTTCGTGAATTATTTCTAAGTTTTTGCGATTAGTTGCCAATTGCTCCATCTACATTTCATTTTAGGAGTTCGATGTGAGAGGAAAAAAGATTCTTTACAAAATTCCGCTGTTGATCAAGGACAGAAATATATTAGCAGAAGTTAAAAATATCCGTAAAAATTCTCTATTAAAGTTGAACATATTTATTAAAGTAATTTCCTGCAAAAAGTGCTGTGTTATTTAGATGATTGGACAATTACTCCCTCTATATGTCATTTTAGGAGTTTGTTGTCAATGGAAAAAATATTCCTGACAAAATTTTACACTAGATCAGTGCGTAAAATATATATATAAATATTATATATAACCCTTAAATTTTATTGTGAAAAAGGTACGTATTTATGATATCAATTTTATGTATACTGTGAGTCTTCTTTCGATTAGTTTGCCAATAACACCCTCTATATTTCATTTCAGGAGTTTAATGTCAATGGAAAAAATATTCCTTATTAAATTTCACTATAGACCAAGGATTTAAATATATAAGTAGTCCTTATAAATATCCGTTAAATATTAGCATTAAAGTGAAACATATTTATCAAGGCATTTTCTTGCAAAAATGCTGAAATTTTTTGATTATGTGTTAATTACTCCCTCTACATGTCATTTTAGGAAGGTGATGTCTATGAAGAAAATATTCCTTGGAAAATTTTTGTGTATTTCAATAAATAAAAATTATATGTAGGTATTATAAATATTCGCTAAATTTCCATAAGATTATTGAACACATTTTTGAAATTAATTTCTCTTACAGGTTTTGAGTTGTTTTGGAAAGTTGACCATTACTCCCTCTATATAACATTTTAGGACTTTGAAGTCAATGGAAAAAATGCTCCTTAGCAAATTTCCCAATAGGTCAAGGAATAAAATATAACAGTACACTCTACAAATATTCGTTTAATTTCATTATCATTCGTATTCACATTCACATGATTTATTAGGTATTTTGTTAAAATGTAAACACGGCCTTTAGACAGCTGACTGTGAAACAGCAAACTGGGGAACAGCTGATTGTGTTTCGAACTTTGAAATTAAGGCACTAGGAAAGTTTTTTTTATTTTTTTAAATTAATGGTTTTCACTTAAACTTTGTAGAAACAAAAACTTCCATAAAATTACCTTTCATTATTATTTTGAATATTTTTTCTTTATATTCGATTTTTCTTTTAAATATATCTAACAACACTTCTTATTGGTGAGACTCTCTGGAGAAAGACTAAATTCGTTTGGTAGCCTAATAGAGCTTTTTAAACGGATTTCATTTGCAATGATTGAAAAATAATAAATTTTCCCCCAAAAAAATTAGACGAAGCGAATCGAAACCGACGCACACACATATCTGGCTTTATATAATCTTATCGGATGATTAAAAAATTCAATGCATATATTCCAAAAAAAAAAAAAAATTTGAAACATTTTACGCAGATTGCCGGTGGTGCGGGTTGTGTGGTGATAATTTACACCTGCTGTCTTGATCGCAAAGATTATCTCTTACCCTCTGAAGTGGTGTTGGGCCACTATGGGCCATCTAATAATATAATTTATTGTAGTGTTTTAACCATGTTTGAAATATTAAAAAGTTATTTTTTTTTCTTTCAGAATTCTCAATTTTTGTTATTTATGTGCAATATCCTTTATCAGATGTTCTATGGCGATCATACCATTTAGTAAAAGAAAATCACGACTCTCTGACTGGCTGATACCGCAATTGTGTCATCCGTTCTATTGGAAAATTTATCTATGATATGACTTCATTGGATTTCAGGCCCTAGATTTCAGCGGACTACTGATTACAATATTGTTACTAGGTTGAAGAAAAAATATTGGATATTGAAAAAAAAACTAATACGTCATGGGAATATCTTATCCATTACTTCAATAAGTGACCGATAATTTATTCTGCTGCATAATTTTTTCCATACAAAACTTTATATCTGGGTGTTATTATATTTTCATGGTTTAAACTGTCCACAAATCATTTGGTTTTTAAAACAAATTTCAATATCCAATTGATCTCACATCATAGTGAAAGTTTCCTGATACCTACAAATATTGTTAAAAGGTCTAATAGATCTTTTGTCACAGAAAATATGCTTATATTTAATTTTCATGGTCTAATCAGCTGTTTTTTTAAATTGCTATTTAACAATCAGCTGTTTTCGACAGTGTTTACATTATAATCAATTATGATAATAAAACAATTAAAAAAACACAGATTTTTTTAAGAATATTTTTTTTTTGGAGAATCAGGCGAATAAATAACGTGAATTTATTAAGCATATTTTTTAAGGGATCTACAGATCATCAGCCTTCTAAAATGAGATATAGATGGAGTATTTGCCATATGCAAAATAACTCAAAATTTCCAGCCACAGATTTATTAATCATTTATTGTGAAATTTAGCCGATTTATTAAATATCTACATATAGTTTTTGTTCCTTGATCTCAAGTGAAATTTTGTAAGGAATATTTTTTCCATTGACATTAACCTCCTAAAATTAAATCTAGAGGGAGTAACAGACATCTACCCGATACATGTGATAAATAAATCGAAATATAGTTTTTTAATAATGTTATGTTTTTATAGTGAAATTCGGTAGATATATTCAATAGCTACATATAATTTTTGTTCCTTGATCTATAGTGAAATTTTATAGGGAACATTTTCCACCTTGACATCAACCTCCTAAAGTGAAATATAGAGGGAGTTATAGTCAATTAATTGAAATAAATTAAAAATTATTCAGAAAACTACTTCGGCAAATATGTTCAACTTTTACAGTGTAATTTATTGGATCGGCAGGTGAATTTTGTTCCTTTATCTATAGTGAAATTTTGTGAGGAATATTTTTTCCATTGACATCAACCACCTAAAATCAAATATAGAGGGTGTTATTGGTTATTATTCGAAATAAGTTAAAAAACATTTCAGAATATTACTCCCATAAATATCTTCAATTTTCCCAGTACATTTAAGTAAATATATATAATGTTGACATATATATTTTATGCCTCTAGCTATCGTAGAATTTTCTAAGGAATATATTTTCCATTGACATTGAACTCCTAAAATGGCATATAGAGGGAGTAATTGGGAGATATACAAAAGCACTACAAAAAAATTAAGAATTTTTTTCTATATACATATTTATTCGATTTTAATGGTTAAATTTAACGGATATATATAATACCTATTAAAATATCTTTTTCCTAGGTATGTAGTAAAATTTTATGAGGAAAATTTTTACCACTGACAGCAACCTCCTAAATTGGCTGATAGAGGGAGTAATTGTAGATTATTCGAAATAACTCTCAAAATATTCGGAAATTTAGTTATGGAAATGTGTTCAACTAACTTAGGGAAATTTAGCGAAGATATATAATTTGGACATACATATTTTTTCCTTGACATTGGCATCGAACTCCTAAAATGAAATATAGATGGAGTTATGCTCAACTAATCGAAACAAGTCATAAATATCTTTATATATAATTTCCATATATATGTTTAACTTTTATGATGAAATTTAGAGGATATACATAATATCTACAGATATATTCTGTTTGAGGACCCATAGTGGAATTTTATAAGGAATATTTTTTCCTTGCCATTCAACTCCTAAAACGAAATATAGATGGCGTTATGTTAAACTAATCGAAACAAGTCATATAAAACTCTAAATATAATTTTCATAGATATGTTCAACATTTATGATGAAATTTAGAGGATATACATAATACCTGTAGATATATTTTGTTCCGGGACCCATAGTGGAATTTTGTAAGGAATATTTTTTCCATTGACATCAACCTTCTAAAATGAAATATAGATGACGTTATGCTCAACCAATCGAAACAAGTCATAAATAACTTTATATATAATTTTCATAGATATGTTCAACATTTATGATGGAATTTAGAGGGTATACATAATACCTAGAGATAGATTTTGTTCAGGACCCATAGTGGAATTTTGTAAGGAATATTTTTCCATTGGCATCGAACTCCTAAAATGAAATATAGATGGAGCTATACTTATCTAATCAAAACAAGACATAAATAACATTAAATCTGAATTTTCATAGATGTGTTCAACTTTTATGATAAAATTTCGAGGATATACATAATAAATACAGATAAATTTTGTTCCCGAATCCATAGTGGAATTTTATAAGGAATATTTTTTCCATTGACATTCAACTCCTAAAATCATATCTAGAGGAGGTAATTGTCATTTATTCGAAACAGTATACAACTAAACTAAAAAACCTCATCTATAAATAAATTCATATTTTATCCTTGAAATTTCAAGGATATTTATAATTTTTACAGGATATATTGGTTCGGTGACCAACAGTAGAATTTTGTGAGCAATATTTTTTCCATTGACAGCAACTTCCTAAAATGAAATATAGATGGAGTTCCGGTCAATAATTCAAAACAATATAAAAAAGTCATTAGAAATTGATTTTCAATTTCTATAGTGAAATTTGAAAGATAAATCTCTTATTTACAGGGTTTATTTTGTTCGATGACCTATGGAGGAATTTTGTGAGCAATATTTTTTCCATTGACATCAAAGCCCTAAAATGAAGTGTAGAGGAATAAATTGCCAAATATTTCAAATACTATATAAATATACAAAACATTTTCTAATTTATACTTTCTTCGAAAGATCCGCAAGGGTCTTTTTTAAAAATAGTATACCACTTAGAACTTCTAAAAATAGAAAATATTTTTTTTATATCTTCAAGTAGCACACTTAAAACTTAATTAGTTTTTTTGAAGCATGCCCCGTCAATAATAATTATTTTCTAATGCGGTTATGCTTACATACCACCCATTTATTCTGCGTCACTTTTAACTTTGGTTATCAAATCGCCACATGCAAATCACAAACAAACAAATAAAAACCGTCTTTGCTTAATTCAAATGTCCATCGTAAATCCAAAGTCAACTGACATTGACGTTATAAGAAATATTCCAGTTAACACCGAACAAACCCCCCATAATTTTCAATTGCCCAATCATAAATTTCCAATTTTTATAATAAAAATAAACTAGTCCAAGGGGGTGAATCCCAAAGAGGTAATCAAATTGGCAAAAACAATGGCTACTACTGGTAGACCAACTTATCAAATAATAAAAGAATGAACTGAAATATTTAATCAAATTCTGTGATTTTGAAAAACAATAATTCCAGAAGCGGGCGTGTGTGTGTTCACGTATTTTCGATTAGCATACATCGTTTATTATTATGCAGTAAATTGATTTCCATAATAAAGTTTCTAGAAGCTTGTATTGGTTACGAATTTAATCGACGTCATAAAACAATATTGATAGAAGAGCATGATTATTCATGTTGTCCTCCAAACAAATTATTTTAAAATCCATTTTTTTCAAAAATCGTTTTATTATTGTTTTTGAATGTATGACAATAACTCCATCTAGATTTCATTTTAGGAGACTGCTGTCAATGGAAAATATATTCCCCACAAAATTTTACTATGGGTCACCGAATAAATAAATCCTGAAAAAGTTGTAAATATTCTTAAAATTTCACGATAAAATATGAATTTATTAAAAAAAATATTTTTAAGATTAGTTTTGAATTCTTGGCAATTACTCCCTCTATATGTAACTTCAGCAGGTTGATGCCAATGGAAAAAAGATTCCTTACAAAATTCTAGCATAGATCACTGAACAAAAGATATTTACAGATTTTGTATATATCCGGCAATTTACACTACAAATATTGAACAAATTCGTGAAGGCATTTACTTGCAGTAGTTTACGGCAAATTTTCGAATAGTTGGCAATTACGCCCTCTATATGCCATTAGAGGAGGTTGATGTCAATGGAGAAAATATTCCTCACAAAATTTTAATATATGTCGCCGAACAAATTAATCCTGCAAATTTCAGAAATAATCTTGAAAATTCACGATAAAATACGTGATTACATATTAAAGCATTTTTGAGCTTGTTTAATGTTTACATTCGAATTATTGGCAATAACTCCCTCTATGTGTCATTTTTAAAGGTTGCTGTCAATGGAAAAAAGATTCCTTACAAATTTCTACCATAGGTCGGGGAACAGAACATATGTGTCCATATTACATATATCCGCCAAATTTCACTATAAATATTAAACAAATTCGTGGAGGTATTTACTTGCAGTAGTTTATGGCAATTTTCGAATAGTTGACAATTACGCCCTCTATATGCCATTAGAGGAGGTTGATGTCAATGGAGAAAATATTCCTCACAAAATTCTAATATATGTCGCCGAACAAATAAATCCTGCAAATGTTAGAAATAATCTTGAATATTCACGATAAAATACGTATTTATATATAAAAACATTTTTAAACTTGTTTAATGTTTACATTAGAATTAATGGTAATTACGCCCTCTATATGTCATTTTAGAAGGTTTCTGTCAATGGAAAAATATTCCTTACAAAATTCTACTATAGGTTACTGAACAAAAGATATCTATAGATTTTGTATATATCCGCCAAATTTCACTATAAGTATTAAACAAATTTATCGGCAGAAATTCACATATATTTTCGAATAATTAACAATAATTCCCTCTATATGTTTTTTTAGGAGGATGATGTCAATGGAAAAAATATTCCTTACAAAATTCTAATATAGGTCACGGGACAGAATATATCCGTGGATGTTATATATAAACGCCAAATTTCACTGTTAACACTAAAAAAAATCGTGGAGGCATTTACTTGCTGTAATTTACGACTATTTTCAAATAATTGACAAATACTCCCTCTATATGTCATTTTATGAGGTTCCTGTCAATGGAAAAAATATTCCTTACAAAATTTTACTATAGGTTACTGAACAAAATATATCTATAGATTTTGTATATATCCGCCAAATTTCACTATAAATATAAAACAAATTCGTGGAGGTATTTATCTGCAGTAATTTAGATATATTTTGGAATAATTAACAGTAACTCCCTCTATATGTAATTTTAAGAGGTTGATGTCAATTGAAAAAATATTCCTTATTAAATTTCACTATAGATCAAGGAAAAATCTGTAGCAGAAGACCTTATAAAAATCGGTAAAAATTCTCTATTAAAGCTGAACATATTTATGAAAGCAATTTCCTTTAAAAAATTTTAGTTGTTTCGATTAGCTGTCAATTACTCCCTCTATATTTCTTTTTCCATTGTTAATGTCAATGAAAAAAATTTTCCTTATTAAATTTCACTATAGATCAAGGAAAAATCTGTAGCAGAAGACCTTATAAAAATGCGTAAAATTTCTCTATTAAAGCTGAAAATATTTATGAAAGCAATTTCCTTAAAAAATGTTTAGTTGTTTCGATTAATTGTCATTTACTCCCTCTATATGTCATTTTCGATTGTTAATGTCAATGGAAAAAACATTCCTTATTAAATTTCACTATAGATCAAGAAAAAATCTGCAGCAGAAGTCCTTATAAAAATCGTTAAAAATTCTCTATTAAAGCTGAACATATTTAAGAAATTAATTTCCTTTAAAAATGTTAAGTTGTTTCGATTATTTGTCAATTACTCCCCCTATATTTCATTTTAGATGATTGATGTCAATGGAAAAAATATTCCTGACAAAATTTTACTGTGGATCAAGGCACGAAATATATATGAACATATTATATATATTCGCTAAATATCCATAATATAGTTAAACAAATTTTTGAAATTATTTTCCAGAAAATTTTTTGAGTTGTTTCGATTAGTTGCCAATTACCCCCTCTATATATCATTTTAGGAATTGAATGTCAATGGAAAAAATATTCCTTAGAAAATTCTATGATAGGTCAATGAATAAAATATATATGCTAACATTGTATAGATTCACTAAAATTCACTCTGGAAGTTGATGACAGTAATTTTCTGTAAATGTTTTAACTTATTTGGAATAATAGCCAATTACTCCCTCTATATTTCGTTTTAGATGATTGATGTCAATGGAAAAAATATTCCTGACAAAATTTTATAGTAGTTCACCGAACAAACAAATATTTGTAACTATGAGATATATCCGCAAAATTTTATTATATAAGTTGCGCATTTTTATGAAATTTTATGTTCAATTATGTATGTCTATTTCGCATAGATTGTAACTTATGCCCCCTATATTTCATTTTCAGATGGTTGGTGTCAATGGAAAAATTGTTCTCTGTTGCTTATCACTAGAGGTCGCTGAAGTTAAAATCTGTTTTTTATGGCGATATTTCTCACAAATTGACCTGTAAAGGACGTATCTAACTATGAGAGATTTTTTCAATTGTAAGAAACCCTTGAGAGATTTTTTTTCAATTAGAAGAAGACCTTTACGATTTTTCTTTATATGAAATAAGCCTCTAGAGATCTTCTATCTACAGAAGACCCTTCGAAAAACGTTGTTGCTTGTCTACCAATAGAAAAAACAATATGTGGCTCTATTTTTCGGCAAAATCTACAAGTGTTAATTTTAAATCGCACAATAAAAACAAATTATTTCGCTGGTGTGATCCTAATCTTATCGTCATAGACCACGAATTAATTCGAAAATAAATCATTAAAACACTTGGGGTAAATAATAATGTACATAATATGTATATCAGATATATAAATAGGTAAAAACCTATATAATAGTTTACCTATATGGCCCACTTGATCAGTATTGGCTGAGACATTGAAGCAGTCATAGTGATAGAAGAAGAAGAAGAAAATAAAGGAAAAAGACAAAATGAACGGTAGGCCGTAAAAAAATAATAAATCGAAATCGAATTTATTCCTAATCCCGATCCCTCTTCTCATTACCAGGATATTTACGTGTATCTGGTCCATCTCTACTGGCCATTGCCAGCTTACTGCTGTTATGCTGGCCCACCACTATACTGGGCCGTGAAAATGATCCCTGTCACATATTCCCCAATAATACACAAATACGTGATCCGGACGATTGCAGTCGTGGCCTTACCTGTATCAATTTCAAATCGGTTGTCACCACACAATGCAGCGGAACCAAGGCCTTCTTCGACAAGGATAAGAAAGAGTGTGTCAAGCAATTGTCGGATCATTCGTTGTGTGACATTTCGTGCGTCAATGCCACCGGTACCTTTGTGCCAGATCCAAAATCCTGTTACGGCTACTATTATTGTCAAGATGAGAATTGGGCACGCCACGGAACCTGTCCGGAGTCTTATCATTTTGATAGTGCGACCAAATCCTGTATTTACTCTCATGTCTCCAATTGTACGGTGAATACTTTGGATTTCTGTGCCATTGTCGCCGACAGCGTCAACTTCAACGATCCCAGCAGCTGTGAGAAATATTTCACCTGTAAAAAGGGCAAGCTGAGCAGTGCCTCGTGTTCGAAGCAATATTTTGATCCCGTCACCGGAGAGTGTGTACAAAAATCTAAGGTTGCCTGTTCACAGCATCCCATACCGTCTAAGGTGTGCGATAAAAAATCAAATGTTTACGTATCGGATCAGGCCACCTGTCGTGGTTATTTCTATTGTCGGGCGATGGACAGTGGTTACGACACCAATCCCACTTGGTCTCAGTGTCCCGAACATTTATTCTTTAGCGAAAAAGATCAGGCCTGTGTTAAACCCTTGGATGCCTATTGCAGCGAAGATCGTTGTGTGGGACGTAATCTGACATTCGTTACTAGTTCGACCAAGGGCTGTCGCCATTATTTGTTCTGTGCCAACGGTGTGTCACAGGGTGAATTCACCTGTGGTAATAATTTCTTCGATGAAGAAGCTCAGATTTGCACCAATCGTATTATACAATATCCAGCGTGTAGTTAAGATTTTTTTTTGATAACAAAAAAATTAAATAAATTTATGCTATATAATCTCATAAGTGTTCCGATTATGTTAGGAACGTTTTTTATATTTAAAATAAATACTTATAAATATAATATAATCTAATAAAATATTTTAAAAATACAACTTCAGATTATTTTTGTTTCCATTGACATGAACAACCTAAAATCAAATATAGAGGTCGCAATTGCAGACCTGGAGTTTACAATTATTTTAATAGCTAATTTTCTAATAAAAATTCCATATTTACCGATGCATTTTGTACAGTAACCTATAGTGAAATTCGATAGAGAATATTTTTTCCATTGATACCAACCACCTAAAATGACATATAGAGGGAGTAATTCCGATCTAATCGAAATAACCTCAAAAAGTTATAAAAATGCTACTGTGCAATTTGAGAGGTAATATTTAGAGACATATTTCATATCTACCGACATCTTTTGTTCAGTAAGATATACTAAAATTCGACAGAGAACAGTTTTTTCATCGACACCAACCACCAAAAATGACATATAGAGGGAGTAATTTCGATCTAATCGAAATAACCTCAAAAAGTTATAAAAATGCTACTGAGCAATTTGAGAGGTAATTTTTAGAGACATATTTCATATCTACCGACATCTTTTGTTCAGTAAGATATACTAAAATTCGACAGAGAACAGTTTTTTCATTGACACCAATCACCAAAAATGACATATAGAGGGTGTAATTCCGAACTAATCGGAATAACCTCAAAAAGTTTTAAAAATACTACTGTGCAATTTAAGAGGTAATTTTTAGATACATGTATCATATTTACCGACGTCTTATGTTAAGTGACTTATAGTGAAATTCGACAGAGAACAGTTATTTCATTGACACCAACCACCTAAAATGACATATAGAGGGAGTAATTCCGAATTAATCGAAATAACCTCAAAGAAATTATAAAAATAGTTGTTTGCAATTTGAAATACAATTTTCGGGAATATATGTCATATATACGGACATCTTTTGTTCAGTAACCTATAGTGAATTTCGACAGAGAACAGTTTTTTCATTGACACCAATCACCAAAAATGACATATAGAGGGAGTAATTCCGATCTAATCGAAATAACCTCAAAAAGTTTTAAAAATACTACCGTGCAATTTAAGAGGTAATTTTTAGAGACATATATCATATTTACAACTATCTTATCCTCATTGACCTCTAGTGAAATTCAATAGAGAACAGTTTTTTCATTGACACCAACCACGTAAAACGACACATAGAGGGCATAATTACCATTTATTCCAAATAACCCCAAAAAATCGTTAAAATCCTTTTTTTATAATTTGAAAGAAAATTGTCGGTGGTAAATCATATTTATCGATATCTTATGTTCAGTGACTTATAGTGAAATTCGACAGTTATTTCATTGACACCAACCACCTAAAATGAAATATAGAGGGAGCAATTACTGTCTACTCGAAATAACCTCCAAAAGTTCTACAAATGCAGTTCAGCATATTGGTATTCAATTTTTCCTGTATATTAATTTTTTCCTGTATATGTACCGCATTTACCGATATCTTCTGTTCCGTGACCTATATTGAAATTCGACAGAGAATACTTTCTTCATTGTCATCAAACACCTAGAATGACATATAGAGAGCGTAATTTTGAAAAAAAAATAAAAATATAATTATATTACTTTTTGTAATAGCATAACTCCATCTATATGCCATTGTAGGAGGTTGATGTCAATGGAAAAAATATTCGCCTGAAAATTCTACTTTAGATCCTGGAACAAAATATATGGTTATATATTATATTTATCCCCGGAATTTCACTTTTAAAGTTGTACATAATTTTGTAGAATAATATTTAGATTCATTTGCTAATTGTTTCCGTTTAATTGATCCTAACTCCATCTATATGTAATTTTAGGAGGTTGATGTCAATGGAAAAAATATTCCTTAGAAAATTCTACTATAGAATAATATATAAAATATATATGTATCCTTGTTATATATAGTTTGAATTTCACTATAAAAGTTTTACAATTTTGGAAAATTATATCTAGAGTTATTTGCGACATGTTTCCGATTTAATTGACCCTAACTCCATCAATGTGTCATTTTAGGAGGTCGATGTCAATGGAAAAAACATTCCTTAGAAAATTCTACTATAGAATAATAGATAAAATATATATGTAACCATGTTATATATACTTGAAATTTCACTATAAAACTTGTACATTCTTTGGAACTTATATTTAGAGCTATTTTCGACTTGTTTCCATTTAATTGACCATAACTCCATCTACATGTCATTTTTGGAGGTTGATGTCAATGGAAAAAATATTCCTTAGAAAATTCTACTATAGACCAATAGATAAAATATATATGTATCCATGTTATATATACTTGAAATTTCACTATAAAAGTTTTACAATTTTCGAAAATTATATCTAGAGTTATTAGCAACTTTTTCCGATTTAATTGACCATAACTCCATCTATATGCCATTTTAGGAGGTCAATGTTAATGGAAAAAATATTCCTTAGAAAATTCTACAATAGATAAAAGTTAAAAAGATATGGGTATGCATTATATATATCCTCGGAATTTCACTATAAAAGTTTTACTTTTTTTGGAAATCATATCTAGAGTTATTAGCGACTTTTTCCGATTTAATTGACCAAAACTCCATCTATATGTCATTTGAGGAGGTTGATGCCAATGGAAAAAATATTCCTTGGAAAATTCTACTATAGAAGAATAGATAAAATATATACGTATCCATGTTATATATACTTGGAATTTCACTATAAAAGTTTTACAATTTTTGAAAATTATATCTAGAGTTATTAGCGACTTTTTCCGATTTAATTGACCATAACTCCATCTATATGTCATTTTAGGAGGTTGATGTCAATGGAAAAAATATTCCTTAGAAAATTCTACTATAGACTAATATATAAAATATATGTGTATACATTACATATATCCTCGGAATTTCACTATTATAGTTGTAGATATTTTTAAAAGTTATATTTAGAGTTATTTATGTCTTGTTTCCATTTAATTGACCCTAACTCCATCTACATGTCATTTTTGGAGGTTGATGTCAATGGAAAAAATATTCTACAAAAAATTCTACAATAGAACAATAGATAAAATATATATGTATCCATGTTATATATACTTGAAATTTCACTATAAAAACTTTACAATTTTCGAAAATTATATCTAGAGTTATTAGCGACTTTTTCCGATTTAATTGACCCTAAGCCCATCTATATGTCATTTTAGGAGGTCGATGTCAATGGAAAAAATATTCCTTGGAAAATTCTACTATAGAATAATAGATAAAATATATATGTATCCATCTTATATATACTTGGAATTTCACTATAAAAGTTTTACAATTTTTGAAAATTATATCTAGTGTTATTAGCAACTTTTTCCGATTTAATTGACCATAACTCCATCTATATGCAATTTTTGGAGGTCGATGTCAATGGAAAAAATATTCCTTAGAAAATTCTACCATAGACTAATAGATAAAATATATATGTATCCATGTTATATATACTTGGAATTTCACTATAAAAGTTTTACAATTTTTGAAAATTATATCTAGTGTTATTAGCAACTTTTTCCGATTTAATTGATCATAACTCCATCTATATGCCATTTTAGGAGGTTGATGTCAATGGAAAAAAATATTCCTTATGAAATTCTACCATAGATTAATAGATAAAATATATGTGTATACATTTTATATATACTCGGAATTTCACTATTATAGTTGTACATATTTTTAAAAATTATATCTAGAGTTATTAACGACTTTTCCGATGTAATTGACCATAACTCCATCTATATGTCATTTTAGGAGGTCGATGTCAATGAAATAAATATTCCTTAGAAAATTCTACAATAGGTAAAAGTTAAAAAGATATGGGCATCTATTATATATATCCTCGGAATTTCACTATTAAAGTTTTACAATTTTTGAAAATTATATATAGACTTATTAGCGACTTTTTCCTATTTAATTGACCATAACTCCATCTATATGTCATTTTAGGAGGTCGATGTCAATGGAAAAAATATTCCTTATGAAATTCTACTATAGATAACAGTTAAAAAGATATGGCCATGTATTATATATATCCTCAGAATTTCTCTATTATAGTTGTTCATAGAATAACTTCGATTTTTTGTTATAGAACAAAAATCGGAAATATATTTTTTTTCACTTTTCGAAACATTTTTTTCATCTTTAGAAATAAATGTAACCTTGCCAAAAACGAAATAAAGAAATATTTAGTTTTTATCACATTTAAACTTTTCTCTCAACTGTTGACTAACTAACTAACTTCTTCTTATCATTTAATTATGAAAAAACATCCAGGTTGACAAAAAATAACAAAAAAAGTAACTACACGGACATAATTGATATGATATTAAATTAGCTAAGCAGGGTTATAAATATTTCATTTAATACAAAAATGAAACTAAGCGAAAAATCTTCGATTTTCATTTCAGTACGATAAAAGCGACTGTGGAGGAAGGTCACATTGAATAATTTTTAGCGAAAGTTGTTTTTCGAAGAGCCAACATGAAAATCGGTAAGTGAATGGATTCCTTTCCGTTTAGGAAGGTAGTACCAGCATAATGATTGCTTTTCCATTTCAGTTTATACCCTGCCAGCTCTGTTGGTGTGGATGAGCGTTTTATGCAGCCCCACATTGGGCGCCAACACACAATGGCCACTGGAATCTGATGAAGATGTCTGCTCACTGTTTCCAAATGGTGCTATGCTACGTAAACCCGGCACTTGCGGTGAATCGATTATTTGCCAGGACGGTAAAAGCACACCCGGCGACCTCATCTGTGTCGGCACCCAAGGCATCAAGTTGGATACGAAGAAATGTGGTGCGGTTAGTGATGCCTATTGTAAGGATACCTGTGCCAAGACTTCTCCCACATGGGTGTCGGGCGTGCGCAATTGCAGAGATTGGACCCAGTGTAAGGATGGCAAGGTGGTGTCATCAGGCACCTGTCCAACGGGACAAGTATTCGATCAAACCCTACAAAGGTGTCATTATCCCACTGCTGATTACACATGCGGCATGGCCTTTGATATTTGCAACATTGCTCCCAAGGAACAGCCGTTTTGGGATGCGGATAATTGCCACAAATTCTTTGTGTGCAACTCGAAACAAAGCCAAGAGGTAATGGAATGTCCCACCGGGCACTATTACGACAAACGTTCCGGTCTATGTAATGCCAAGGCCCAGGTGGATTGTTACAAACATCCCTATCCGGAAAATGTCTGTGGCACAGCAAAGTTGGCAATTCGTGATCGTTTTGTTCGCGACCAGGCCACCTGTAGCGGCTATTTCTATTGTACCGATTATGGTTCGGGTGTACCGGATACAAAACCCACTTGGGGCCAATGTACCAAGTCGTACTTTTTCGATGAACATGTCCAGGCTTGTCGTCCCCGCACCGAGGTCGCATGTGACGAAGATCGTTGTGTCGGACGTCCCAGTGGTTTCGAATTGGCTCCAATTGCCGGTTGCCAGCACTATTTGAAATGTGTAAATGGCTATACCGATGGTGATCCGATCAAGTGTGAGGAGGATAAATATTTTGACGCTAGCACGGAACAGTGTGTTGACAAGAAAATGTCATATCCAATTTGTGCTTAGAACAAAAGCTGGTAAACTACAACATAAATAAATAAATAAAAAATGCAAAAAAAATTTCAGCTATGTTTTTTTTTTCCTGACAAAATTTTATTAATTTTTTTTTCTATGGAAAAAAATATAAGCGATTTTTTCTATGAGAAAAACATTTTTCCTTGATAAAATCTACGCTTCTAACAGACCTTAAAAAAATTTGATTCATTGAGAAATTTTTCTTTAAAAATCTACTTACCTGAGAGACCCTGAACAGTATCAAAATTAAGTGAAAATAATTCAGTATGTGATAAGAGAAATTTCGAGAATATACATATATCACATTTACCGATATCTTTTTTCTATGACCCCTAATGAAATTCGATAGAGAATATTTTTTTCATTGACATCTACCACCTAAAACGGCATATAGAGGGAGTAATTATCAACTTTTCGAAATAACCTCAAAAAAGTTCTAAAAATACTTTTGTGTAATTTCAACGACAATTTTCGGGGATATATACTATATTTACCGATATCTTTTGCTTGGTGACCTATAGTGAAATACGGTAAAGAATATTTTCTCCATTGTCACCAATCACCTAAAATGACATATAGAGGGAGTAATTATCAACTATTCGATATAACCGCAAAAAAAGTTTTAAAAATACTTTATGCAATTTCAAATACAGTTTTCGGGGATATATACTATATTTACCGATATCTTTTGCTTGGTGAGCTATAGTGAAATTCGGCAGAGAATATTTTTTCCATTGCCATCAATCACCTAAAATGACATATAGAGGGAGCAATTACCAACTGTTCGAAATAACCTCAAAAAAGTTCTAAAAATACTTTTGTGTAATTTCAACGACAATTTTCGGTGATATACATCACATTCATCGATATCTTTTGCTTGGAGACCCAAAATAAAATTCGATATAGAATATTTTCTCCATTGCCATCAATTACCTAAAATGACATATTGAGGGAGTAATTACCAACTATTCGAAATAGCCTCAAAAAAAGTTCTAAATATACTGTCGGACAATTTGAAAGATAATTTTCGGTGATATACATCACATTTATTGATATCGTTTGCTTGGTGGCCTATTGTGAAATTCGGTAGAGAATATTTTCTCTATTGACATCAGCCACCTAATATGATATATAGAGGGAGTAATTATTTGAAAGATAATTTTCGGTGATATACATCACATTTATCGATATCGTTTGCTTGGTGTCCTATAGTGAAATTCGGTAGAGAATATTTTCTCTATTGACATCAGCCACCTAATATAATATATAGAGGGAGTAATTATCAACTATTCGAAATAACCTCAAAACAAGTTATAAATATACCGTCGGACAATTTCAAAGAAAAGTTTCGGTGATATACATCACATTTATCGATATCTTTTGCTTGGTGACCCATAAAAAAATTCGATATAGAATATTTTTTCCATTGACATCAGAACACTTAAATGAAATCTAGAGGGGTAAATTTGTTATCTATACGCATTCACTAGAATGGCGTCTTCTTTTTATTTCATCATCATTTACGATCTACTTTACTTTACGGTCTAATTGATAGTCGGTAATCTATTACATGGTTGTATTGTGACAATGATATCAATCTAAACAAATCTACTACAGCTCGGCCAACCTGACGGTTGTGACCGACACGGTCACCTACAAATTATACTACATACATTCTACTATATATGCAATATAATACAATTTAATATTGGTAAGAGCAGCCTTAGGTGCCCTACCTTAGTCTTCAGATTTCCAAAGCCTTATATTGCAGGCCTCAATTACACCATCGTAAGGTCTTTTGTGTGATCTGGCAGTTTTCAATATCTTTTATCACATATCTATCGTTCGGAAGTACTTTACTTACTACATAAGGACCTTTATATTTCGGCACTAAGTTTTTATTGGTCCCTATCGTAGTATTCACATTCCGTATCACTACAAAGTCACTTGCTTTAAATTTATTTACTATGCCCCTTTTGTCTTAGACCGTTGTCCGCTATATGCCTGCGACCTCGCAATTGATGCCTCTGCTTTGTCTCGTATGTCTATCGGTCCTCTCAAGCTGGCAAATTTCGACATGATCGAAACATTTGTCATATAGCGCCTAAAAGTATACTTTTACAAATGAAGACTACTGTGAAGACTATGGATACGAACTGCGATAACGAAGACTATGTGCTTGTAATTCGAAACTAAAATACCCTGCAATCGTTCAGGTAAGTTTATAGAGGTCAACCTTACGTTAGACAAAACAAAAGGGCCAGTGCGGAATTTGTGATGTCGGATATCAGCTCGGAATGATCGACCGCATCAAACGCTTTGGACAGATCTAAGGCTGTCACAATGGTCCGTACAGGTGGTCGTCGCTGATTGAGGCCATTCGCAATATTGGTAGTAATTTCTTGCAAAGCCGTTACCTGAAACCGTGTTGGTAGGTAGCAAGAACGAAATGCTGTTTGAGGGCATTGAGCAATAGAGACTCTAAAACCTTGGCTACTGGTGAAAGAAGACAAATCGGGCGGTAGCATTCTCCATTAGTAGCGGATTTATCTGGTTTTAGAATTTGAATAATCCGACATCTTTTCAAATATCTACTATGGCATCCATAACTGGAGAACTTTGATTAGATAATCCATGAACATGGATATGGCGCCTGGACCAAGGACTTTAGATGGCTTGGATTTGGAGATAATTGCCTCTATCTACCTGCTAGTGAATGATAGTGGCTGCAAGTCTTGTTTAAGATTCTTGGATCTTCGGATAACTCTTCGCTTGGTCCTGTTCGGCAAAGATGGATGCTCAGTGAAACTCTGGTTTGTCGTGATAGTTATTGCTCTTGTGGTCGGGTGTTCTCCTTGAATTGTTCCCGCAACTGCATCAGTGTGAAATCAATTAAATCCTGCTTGATAGGACTGTTGATCTGGAGGCTCTCTTTTGTACATTTGGGCCTCTCTCTCTTTCTCCAGATCATGAATATCCCTTCTGACATGCCTTGTTGGTGGGTGCCTATCCATAATGTGATGGTTTGGTTTAAACTAGATAAACGTCCGATCATTCTACCATCCTGGGTTCGAGAGTGACTTACTAGTTGCCCACAATTTACTCACTCAGGTACTGATGTTACAACACTTCAGATATTCTAGCCACTTTTTCTGCTTCTGCTAGCCGACTTATCTGTTTCAATGCCACTGCCAGTGGTGGTAGCATCCTGATGGATGCTGCTGCAGGTCATACGAGAGGCAAATGTGAACAGAAATGGCACTCGGTACACCAAAAAGCATATGTTACTAGCCTACGCCGATAACATCGACATAATGGGTCGAACATTAGAGCGGTAACAGCCAACTTTGAACGAATTGAAAAGAAGTCTGCCTAAGTTGGATTGGCGAGATTGGTATCAACGCGCTCGACGTCCAAGTAGACTCGGACCAATTTTGAAACTTAAAAAGCGAGCCAAGTGATAGTTAACGTAGAAGAGAAAGGCCACGAATCCGATGGAAAGATCAAGTGGAAGACAATATATCGGAACATCATATTTCAAATTGGAAAAACTGCGCACAAGTCCAAAGCGTTTGGAAGTCTTTTTTAAGTTCAGCTTTTGGAACAACCGTACTTTCTCGAGCCAGCTAAATAAATAGGTCCATAATTAAGTCATTTAAGAAACTATATATAGACATTCATAAATGTGCATAATTCAAAATTTATTTCAGGTAGTTAGGCGTTTTTTTTTTGGTGAAACCAGAACAGGAAAAAAATAAATAAATACAAAAATAAATTGAATGGTCTATGGGATAATTAGTCGGGAATAAAATCCGTTTAAGCAGTTGTGTCACCAGCATCAGGCTCACTAGCTTCGGGTTCACTAGCTTCAGGTTCACCAGTTTCAGGCTCACCAGCTTCAGGTTCACCAGCTTCAGGCTCACCAGCTTCGGGTTCACCAGCTTCAGGTTCACCAGTTTCAGGCTCACCAGCTTCAGGTTCACCAGTTTCAGGTTCACCAGCTTCAGGTTCACCAGTTTCAGGTTCACCAGTTTCAGGCTCACCAGCTTCAGGTTCACCACCTTCGGGGGCGGGTGCAGGTTCGCCGGGTTCACCACCTTCGGGGGCAGGTGCAGGTTCACCGGGCTCACCACCTTCGGGGCCGGGTGTGGGTTCACCATTCTCTTCACTTTGATAACAGGCTCCATTCTTGTCACGATAGCTGCTTAAATCACTATCGCTATAGCAGGCCTGAACCTTTTCATTAAAGTAATAATCCTTTTGGCATTTGCCCTCAGCACTGATAGTTCCATTCGAATTGCAAGTGTAATAACCTTGACAGGTTGGATCGACTTGATTCACCCATGTTACGGTGGCAAATTGACAACGATTACAGCCTTCTGTGGCGACGGCTGCTTGGCGGGCCACACATGTTTTCTGAATTGTATCGTAATATTGGCCGCTCTTGCAGGTCAATTTTTGCCATACTTGTGCCTCACATTGATAGTAAACGGAACAGATATTTTTGTCACCCTGGAAGTCGCCTTCTTGAGCCTCGGTACAGGGTTCAGAGGGTGTAACGGGATTATCGGAACTAATACGTTTACACATTGTTCCATCGTTTTTCAAGCACATACCTCTGGCCGTATTGTAGACCTGTGAAGTGAAAGTAAACGGAGGATGAATAGGGTGGATAAAAAAAATATTCGAAAGTCTCACTGCCACCACACAAAAACTTACCAAACCTGTGTTACATGTACCGCTCTTCATGGTACCCGATGTACACTTGTGCCAGGCATCACAACTTTCAAAATCTCCAAAGAACACATCGTTGGCCATCAATTCACATAGGTTGGAAATTTCGGTGAAACCACCATCCTCATCATTGGCATTGGTACACGTGCCATAAATACAGCCGCCAGCTTCGTTGCTGAAGTACTGCTTGGTAGGGCAGGTACCACTGCCGGATTGCTTTTGATTTTTGCAGTAGATCCACTTGACACAATTCTCGGGATCTTGGACCCAACCTTCGCCAGCAACATTGGCGCATGGGCTGAGGGCATCAATACAGGTCGTCACAGTCGATGAGGGCTTGCAGGATTGCGAATTCTTATCAAAAGATTGGGAGTTGAGGCAAGTAGACGTTTGATAGCTGCCATCGGCCTGGCATGTATAATAGGTTTGACAATCATTCAAGCTGGGCAATTTTGTGCCGGTTGTGACAAGTTGACAATAGCGGGCGACATCGTATTCAGCCGTAGCTCCATTTAGGCAAATGGCCATGACAATGGCAATGCCAAGGAAAATTTGTTTATCTGAAAATAAAGGAAAACAGATTGTACTTTAGTTTTTTTTTAATCACTCCCGATAATTATATATGCCCAATGATTGGAACCTCAGCATCCTCAGTCCCGTGCACAAAAAAAGATAATAATATATGTCCAATGATTGCAACCTCAGCATCCTCAGTACCGTGCCCCAAAAAACGAGACAAGACGATATGTCCCAACATCAATCAATAATAAAGTCAATGCCCAACAGCAAGGTACAAAACAAGTAGTTCTAGTGATAAGCGCACAGAATAAGATACCCTAAGATTTCTATGACAGTCCGGCACTTAAGTGAATTTATATTTTCAATCAAAATCAGAAGCGATTTAACATCTAATCCGTGTACTTCTCAAACAGTCTATGACATTATTGGGTCATACCAATGATGTGGTATCAACTGGCAAGACGTCCAGTAGACTCGGACCAACTGTGTACAGCTTCGAGGTGGTGAACAATTTTATATACCTTGGTGCCGCCCAAAAAATAAAACTAATAACATCAATGACGTAAGTACATCGAATCAATAGGACCTTAAACTACCTTCCTACCCTACCCTGGCGGAAGTTGCATTTCAGCTTCTATTGTTCCCGATAGATTTGTTAAGATCCTCTCCCTACAGTGCTTAATTATATTTTTTCACAGGCTTATCTTTTTTCCAATATCTGGATGAAACAGAGGGTGGCTTTTTCGGCCTCCAAATGACTTCAGAGTCGCATTCGTATAATTTATCAGAGAAAGAAATCTCTTCAAGCTCTTAAGCCGATGTAGTCTTAGAAATGACAATCGTGGAAATTTTTGCATAAAAAAGCGAAATAGGAAGCCGGCTCAGAAATTATTTTATTAATGTATTCATAGTAACAGCATTCCGTCAGTATATGCTTCCGGTCTTCCGTCATCCCACACCCACATAAATCCGTGTGGGACATGCCTCTTTTATGCAAAAATTCATTAAGAAAACCATGCTCTGTCATTAAGAAACCAGGACTAAAACCAAAGCGAAAGTCTGGTTGGTACAGTACGTACGTAGCGCCACAAATAAATTCGTACGTCACCCTTCCTTTATAACTGTTAATCCATCTATCAACAACATTCTCCCGAAAGATTGTGCTGTACCGCCTACTACCCCCCTCCACCAGATCAGAAGGTCTTAACCAATCATCCTCATCCAACTGTAGGCCACGCTTAAGCTTATATTTGATAGTTGTACATCCCACCTCAAGCGGAACGGCGCCAAGAAGCAATTGCAACGCCTCTGTGGTAACAGTGCGACATAGCGACCCGCTAACACGAAAGGAGCTTCTTCTGCCCTAAGACAGTCGAGGTAACCGTGTACCATAAGTTGGACATGCAACAAATTACCCGCCATATATGGCATGCAAAGCACGCCTACTCAAGCCGCAATCGGGCCGCAAGACACACTTTATAGTCCCAACGATCAAAGTAAGGAAGGAAATTCAAACGCTCGAACACCGTTATTCCGGGATACTTAACTGTACTCGAATACCTACATGGACCACAAATGGAACTCTGTGGGCAACCACGTTGCACATCCCTCCAGACCGAAGCACTGGCTCCCACGACACAAGCCTCTCGTGACCCTTTAATACCGAACGAGGATTCAGACAAGGTGACAGTTTGTCGTGTGATCTTTTTAACATCCTGCTGGAAAAGGTCATACGAGGGGCGTGGGTAACCACGTTGCACATCCCTCCAGACCGAAGCACTGGCTCCCACGACACAAGCCTTTGGGCCTCCATATCAGCCTCTTATGCTGACGTAGTCTAATTGTTCGATGTCCAAATGCTTTCAGAGTCGTTTTGTGATATTTTCTCCGAGAAAGCAAACATATCGAGCTCTTATGTCGACGTTGAACTGGAACTGGAAAATTTAACTACAAATAAGTCATTGCCGGTTCCGAATTATCTTGACACTAATTGGCCCAGCGGAAGGAACGTAAAACGTCCTGAATTTATTTATAGTTGCGATATAGATTTTTTAGATAAATTTAAAAAAAATAAGAATTATATTCAAGAACTATAAAGTATGACGTAAGAGTACTTTGAATCGATAACAACTCAATACATCCCGCATACTATAATTGAAGGTTAGAAAAAAAGAGATGATAAACGAAGTAGACTGCGTGGCAACTATTTCAGCTTATAATGATTTTGGTAGATTATTGGAGGGTGGGCTTCTAACTACAGGCAATATCTAAGGTAGGTTCAGTGTTATTGATTTGAATTTTTGCAGTTCACATAGACTATAAAAATTCCGCTCAATGTTTGTGGCCACTTTGAAATATTTTTTTGTTGGGTCTCTTAGCCATATTTTGCCATTTAGAATGTCCAGATGTTTTTTTTTTAATTATAAGTTCTTCGAGAGTGGAAATTACTTTTCCCATAATCTTAACCGTAGCGATTTTTTTTGGGCGCAGAATATTTGTTTTGATAGAGTAGATCCATTTTTATTTTAATATTTCAATGCACTTTCAGATTTTTTCTCATTTCTTGATTTTTTATATAAACACTGGAACTAATTCATATCCCGAACTTTTAAGTGTCAATATAATTTATTCACATTCCGAACTTTCAAGTGTCTATTTGCGTATCCACTCTATTCGAACTTTTTTCTTTCGTTATTCTTCAATTTCTAATTTAATTTATAACTCCAGAGCACCACTTAAACTCACCCATGATGACGAATTGATCGTTTCTGCTTTAATTTGTTTGTCGTATTAACCGTTAATAAGTTTCGTTGATACTGTTCTAAGTGTTCGAATTGAAATTGCCTTTTATACGATGACCTATAGCTGTGGGACAATCGATATCGTTTTTGATTAAATTAACTAAGTCAGTCTAATATCTAACTACGCACTCTGTCTGTCAGTTAGACTGTCAGTCAAAAAAGTGATAGGAATTAATGAAATCGGCATTTTTTTATCGTCTTTATTTAAAATTTGTTTTTTTTTCGGTCGTCGATAAGATTAAGAAGAAATATTAGAATGAACAATCAATGCTAGTCCCTCGCAATATATATATATATATATAAATATATATATATGTGAATAAGCATAATTTGTGGGAGGAATTTTCACGTGTATTTCTTTTTCTATTGACGGGATACTCCATTCACAGGATTAGAGATTCAATAAGAAAACATTAAAAATAAAATAGATCAACATACGACCTTTGTAAAGCCACATAGCCCAATAGTGCCTGATGAGCCGCTTAACCAACGGCGAAACGCGTCGCATAATGGTGGGTACGTAGGTTCTTCTCCTCGCTTTCCTTTTCATTGCAAAACTTAGATCATTAAGCTCGAATCGAAAGATTACTTTCAAATGATCACTGCCCTTACAAGGCAAAATTCAAATAACAAAAATTAATTTCAGCTGAGCACGGCTAGGGCTCGAACTTCGGTCCTCGGAGCAACACAAATGTTGCCAGACCACTTAACGTTCTGAGCCATCAACACACTTCCAAAACGGTTGCGCAAAAACATGTGTATGTAAAGCCACATAGCCCAATGTGCCTGATGAGCCGCTTAACCAACGGCGAAACGTGTCGCATAATGGTGGGTACGTAGGTTCTTCTCCTGGCTTTCCTGTTCATAGCAAAACTTAAATCATTAAGCTGGGCTCAGGGACCTCCATGACATTCTGTCCCTTTCCTATTATTTTGAGGACTCCTATTTAAATTCTAAAATCATCTTTACAATTTTTTTGTTCGGACCTTTTTTGTAGTTCGATTTTCGTTGTTTATCTGCAGCTAACTTCACTCCAATATTACATACTATTTAAATACTAATTATTACAACTAAGAAAAATCTGAAAATATTCAAATCGTGAGATTAACTTCTTTACAATATTTGAAAAAATAATTTACTTTTCCGATTTTTTTTTAAATAAATTTGGCTCTGACTATTTTTTTAGTTCATTTTCCTATTCTATTTCCATATTTCTTCTGCAGCTAACTTCACTCCAATGTTACAGACTATTTTAATACTAATTATTACAACTGAGAAAACTTCGATTTCCGAGAATAGATGATAAAACTCATGGTTCCTTCGACGACGCAGATCGGCCCGTAATTTTTTCTGAGAATTTTTTTTTTCTCTCAAACACTCCAAGAGCTGCCTCATCTGTTTGCGCAAGTTGCCATGCTTCTGATCTATACAACAGCAAAGGGGAGTCACGTCAATATTGCGCGCGCAGCTCTTCCAAATTGCAAAGACCATGTTTCGAAATGTTTTCTTCCACTTGATATTTCCACCGAATTTGTGGCCTTCCCCTTCTGCCTGAACCATCAGTTGGTTCGTTTTTATATGCCTTTTGAGCGCGGGCATCCTAATCCATTCGCACAACATGACCTAACCACCGCAGTCGACTATGTCGATGTCCGTGTATAGCTGGTACAACTCATGGTTCATTCGACGCCGATAATCACCGCCTCATCTTCTTGCGCAAGTAGCCATGCTTTTGATCCATACAACAGCAGTGGGGGCTCACGTCAATCTTGCACGCGCAGCTCTTCCAAATTGCAAAGACCATGTTTCGAAATGTTTTCTTCCACTTGATATTTCCATCGAATTCGTGGTCTTCCCCTATCTGCGTGAACGAACCATCAGTTGGTTCGTTTTTATATGTCTTTTGAGCGCGGGGCATCCAAATCCATTCGCACAACATGACCTAGCCAACGTAGTCGCTGCAGCTCAATACGTCTAACAATATTGATGTCCGAGAATAACTGGTACAACTCATGGTTTATTCGACGCCGATAATCACCGTCAACGCAGATCGGTCCATAGATCTTTCGGAGAAAAAATTCTCTCAAACACTCCAAGAGCTGGCTCATCAGCTTTGGCAAGTACCTATGCTTCAGATCCATACAACAGCACGGGCAGTGTCAGAGCCTTGTAGTTTTTTTTTATTGCTTTTTTGGTTAGGTCAAAAATAAACATGGTTCTGTATGTACTAGCCTACCTAGAATCTTAACATAATAGTGCAACAGCATGCTGTGTAGCGTCTTGTAGAGTGTGAGTTTGGTCTGGCGAGAGGTGGCCCTGTTCTTGAATTGCTTACTTAGATCATAGTAGCATATGCTGGGCAACACAATCTTTCTCCGAATCTCAAAGCTGATATTACATCGAAGCTGTAGTTTTCAAGTTCCACACTGGTCCTACTGAACGTCCTGCGCATGGATACCTCAGCTTGGTCTTCTCGCCAATTAACTGCCAGACCCACTTTGGGCGGAATCCTTCTCAATTCGATCAAAGGTTGGTAATACCGCTCGCAATCTACTACCAATTATGCCGATGTCCTCGATGGCGTAGGCGAGTAACATGTGCTATTTGGTGTACAGCGTGACATTTCTGTTCACCTTTGCCTGTCGTATGACCTTTTCCAGCGGGATGATAAACAGGTCACACGACAAACTATCAACTTGTCCGAATCGTCGTTCGGTATTAAAGGGCTCCAATAAATCCTTTCCGACTTTAACTGCTGACTATAGAGTTATCCTGCATAGTCGTATTAATTTTACAGGAATGCCGAACGCAGACATGGCTTTAAATACCTCTGAGTGGATTGGGCTGTCGAATGCGGATCTGTAGTCGACGAATGGATGAAATATGTCGTCTTGTCCCAGTTTTTTTGTGCACAAGACGCGTTGCTGAGGTTCCGATCATTGGGCATGCATTCCTCTAGCCAAATTCTACTAATCAGATGATGCATGCTCCTGACCTTCATCTGACCACTGGTCTTAAATAGTTCGGCTGGTACCTGCTGTCACCAGGTTTCCTTCTGCATCTCTACAGGAGGGTGTGCCTGCACCATAGCCTTCGCTTTGGTATTTAACTCGTTAGTAAAATTTCCCAACTTCGTTCTGTATTCTATACATCTCGATTTGTTCCCGCTCACGCTTCCGAATTAAATTTGAAGCAATTTCCCAAATAAAAGTTGAAGCAATCGGTCCGAAAGAGGTGGAATTCCGCATATGAAATGGTAGAGGTCATGTTATTACTTAAAGCCGCATTAATTTCAACTATATCTCTGATCCGACCAGTTTTATTATTACTTATCGATGAGTGGGACATTCTTAAAAAAACATCTGCTATTTTGAAGACCATTTATGAAAAGTAACTCTCTCAAATGTGATGGTTATGTGCAACATTTTAACGAGCTTCATTCCAAGAAGTTCCTCCACCTACGAAAAGGTATCGGCAATGATGACAGCAATGGGAAGAGAGTTCCAAGTCAGTTTTGGAAAATTAGAAAGAAATCCTCTTTATGCAGAGAGTACAATTCTGGATCAGAGATTTAAATGAAGGTGATTCAAAACGGATATAATATATAATAACGTATTAACGAACTTAAGGACTCGAACATCTTCGATAAATTTGCCGAGAGATGAAGAGAACCACGAGCTGTAAAGACCACAGTGCCCGACAACTGCCAAAAAAAAATTGTCAGTCGGAAACTGATCAGATTATGGACTCTGACAGCAACATAGTGGCAGGCATCAGAGAATTGGACAAATACATTAATGAGGAGTACCTCGATTGAAAATAGGACCCATTAGAATGGTGTAGAGAGAGAACGAATTTATATACTCGTGTATATTCATATGTCCTTGAACGTCTTTGTGTTGTAGCGACATAGATACCCTGCGAAAGAATTTTTTCTGGCACCGGGAAAAGGGCATTATAGGCGTTTTTTGCAACGCCTTGTCACGTTTTATGGCAACACGAAATGCCATAATTCATAAACTTATTGTCCGACATGTGTCAAATTTCTAAAGTCTGGGGGTTAATTAAAATTCACATGGTCTTAATGCTGATAGTCGCAACAAAGTATTGGACATGGGGAGATAAATTTAGAAAAACAAAATTAAAAAATAGAAATATGATAAGTAAATTTTTGAATAATGCCTAAATAAGTCAGTCGAAAATATAGCGCATGGCAAAAGTAACAACAAAACAACAGGACAAGATGGTCATAGCTTAGCTTCTGTAATCTCACAAGAGCTTGGCAGAAGAAGGCAGGCGTGTCTACCTTCAAAATGGAAAACTGACACTTGATTGATTGCAACATGTGGGTCCAAAATAGACAAAATGGGTCCGGCCAAACTAGAAAAAAATTAGAAAAATTACGCAGGGATTGCTTGGTATGAAGCTCACACAAGGCCTGTGACATTAAGTTCTCCTATCACCTATAAAGTGCTATCCAGCGTGCTGTGTGAATGACTGAAGTCAAGGGTCAATGACATCATTGGATGATACCAATACGGCTTCAGACCTGGCATATCCACCATTGACCAGATTTTCACACTGCGCCAAATCCTGGAAAAGGCCAACGAAAAACACATCGACACATACCATCTATTCGTCGACTATAAAGTCGCATTCGGCAGCCCAATTAGCTTAGAAGTATTTAAATGTCTGCCTTCAGGATTCCTGCAAAATTAATACGGCTATGCAGGATAACTTTAACTGGCACAAGGTCAGCAATTAATGTCGGAAGAGACCTCTTGAAGCCCTTCAATACCGAACGAGGATTCGGAGAAGGTGACAGTTTGTCGTGTGACCTGTTTAACATCCTGCTGAAAAAGGTCATACGAGATGCAAATGTGAACAGAAATGGCACTCTGTACACCAAATATCATATGTTACTCACCTACGCCACCGATGACATCGA